TACATTATAACATACCATAATAGACCCATTTCTGTAATATACTTACATATCTATACTATTGCTAATATATATTGTAATATATCTATATCACTAAAGCACTTCTGGATGGATGCAAACTGCATTTCGTTGCCCTGTACCTGTGCATGTGCAATGACAATAAAGTTGAATTCTATTCTATTCTATCATAACTGATCTCTGAACAGTGGAAGCTGAGGGAGGTACAACTCACAAAATTGTCTGTGGTTAGTCTCTTGACAATCCTCCATTAAGGATCACAGGTAAATCCTTGATGTGCTCACAAAAAGAGCCAAAATACTGCTTCCCTTGTTTCAGTTTGCAAGACTTCTGCTCTTGCTAGCAGCGCCCAGGAAAATGACCTACACAGCAGAGTGAAAGGCTTGTAGTCAAGCTAGGTTCCAGAGACAATAGTCAAGTATGGCCAAAAGATGGCATGACGTTACACGATGGATGCAAACTAGAGCTGGGCGATAGAACGATAACGATATGTATCGCGATATAACTTTTACTCGATAGAGAAATTAAGCTATCGCGATAGACCTCGCCGCTCTTGTCCTCAAAAAAAAAAAAAAAAAAAAAGGTCAGCCAATCCAAATTAAGTAGCGCAGAGCCGAACCAATCACAGCCGCAGCGTCACGTCGCGTGACTTGTTACGTACAGCACAAGTGCCAAGCCGCACGTGTGTTTGTTTGGGAAGCAGCCAGCGGGTAATGGAGCCAGCGCGTAATGGAGGAAATGAGTGTGCCGACTAGAAAAATCAACCGAGCGTGACCGAAGAGAAAACAGATGATGGTTCCAATGCCGGAGAGATTGTCGAACGGAAGAGCCATAGAAGTTCCGTAGTGTGAAGGTATTTCGGCTATTTCAAGTCTGACAAAAACAGAGTAGCGTGCACTGTAAATTGTGCCGAAAGCAAGTCTGGAAATACAATAAACTGGTGCATGCATCACACTGTGCGCCACGTTATTGTTTCGGTGAAATGAATTTCAACAATACTGTTACTGTTAATTCTACTCTCTGCAGTGTTTAAATGCTTACATATACACACAGTTACTGTCCCTCCACACATACGACTCGGTTCTGCTTCTATGCCCCAGCTTTGTTTACTTTTTCCCACCGAGGCTTCTAGACTTCTGATTGGCCAACATTTAGGCACGGTTAGGAATCTAGCGCCACCTGCTGCTTTGGCATGTTCATAGCAGCGTTTTCCTTCATTTCTGCCTTTATGTGTGGATGGGATTATTTTTTAAAACGAAAACGTAAAATCTCCGTTTTCAAAAATACCCGTGTACGTGTGGACGTAGCCTCAGTCTCTGACTGGAAGCGCTAATTCGTCATTCGGCTTTTGTCAGACTAAAGTAACTGTTAAAACTGTTTGAAAAGCTAAGCTATACAACAAGGAGAGATTGAGAATTTCCTTTTAGTTCTCAGTTTATTTGATATTGACAAAAGTTAGTCAGTTTTGTCTGTTCTTCTGTAAAACAAACTAAGATTTATTTTTAGAATTAATATTTTGTTTCTAAGTGGAATTGACAATTTAGTCTGTTTCGTTTGTTCTATTTTGAAACTTAAACGCTTTAGTGGCTGCCTTTTGTGTAGTTTGCAATATTTGCCTTTATTTATCTGAAAAAGTCTCATGTTCCTTAAGTACATCTACCCTGTTGAACTTATTATGGGAAATAAATATTTAAATAAAAACAAGCTGCTGATTATTTCACATTTTACTTGTGAGCAACGGCACATTTAAATCTTACAAATATAGTTATTTGGCTTATATCGTGATAGATATCGTTATCGCCTGAAATGAAAAAAACATATCGTGATATGAAAAAATCTCATATCGCCCAGCTCTAATGCAAACATGATGTCTGTTTTTAGCAAACACTGCTTGCCTCACTTATTCTGTTGGCATCCCCACTGTGTACACATACCATGTCAGAACAGCATTTTTAAAATTGTTTTGCATACCACTTGGATAAGCAATCACTGAAACCAAAGGATACAAGGGTCTCACTTACAGAAGCATTTATAAAGTTTATTATTAAATCAGCTCAGATTAAACTTAGATTAGTCAGTTATTTGAAGAAAGCCCAAAAAGATGAAGACATCCTTTATCACGAATGACTTTTGCAGCATACAATGCACAAAACACGTGAATTTACAGTTAATGTCACAAAGTAACAGATACAGAAGAGTGGCTTGTATGCTCGATAGGCAAAAACTCTGAGGATGGCATATAAATAAAACCCACAATTTCCTTACTAGCCTTGTTACAATGCGAATGCCTATTTTCAACCCAACCCAATGTAGAGCCAGTTGCAAAATTTAATTTAAGAGCTTTGCACCAAAACCCCAGCTACAGTACTCCATATCAGATTTAATTTAGTGTGAACAATAAAGTCAGAGTGACAGTTATTAATGATTTTATTTAGGATGCAAAGCTCTTGCCTTTTATCCTCACTTACCCACAGGAATGTTTTGAGTGGACTTGAACCCTCTGTCTCTCTCTCTCCATGATAAATGCTCTCTCATCACTCTTGTTCATCATTGCACTGGCCGTCATGATCTAATGAGCTGTTGAAGTGGAGCACACCACCCGCTCTTCATACAGATCAGCATTGTGCCTTGTCCAGGTTTTGCACAGGCTTTGGCAGCCACTCAGAATATTGTGTTGGTTATTAGTTTATCATTGTTCATAACCCCTTACAGCATCACACTCTACTTTGAGCTTTATCTGAGGTAACGAGTGCACAGTCCTGCTTTATAGTCTTATTCTGCTTTTGACCATGATCTTGTTGTGTATAGGTGATTGTTACACTTGCTTTCCTCCTGCTTCATGCATTAGTTGTGAACTCTTTAACTTTGTAGGTCAGCGACACTGGATGCTGTTTATTAGTTTTCTGTATTTGCTCCTTACCTCTCAGGACCTAGCTTGTCATCGTCTTTTTGCTTGGCTTCTCCAAACCATTTCTAGCCATCTGGATGTATCACAACACATGCAGGAATACACATCCACGCCAGATCTGTCTTTTTTTTTTAATGTATTGGCAGATCAGAGACCTCTGTTGACGAGGACAGTAAAATAAAGCACAGCAGTCAACAGGATCAAAGGGCAAAGGTCAAAGGAAGTGCAGTATGGGAGGAAAGAGTCTCTGATGTGTTGCCTGATAACAGAGCATCAGTTACCATGATGGAAATGGGGGTTTAAAAGAGGAATCAGGAGGTGAAGAGTAATAGACTGAAAGGAGTTTTACATGTGTCCACACGGACAAGAAGAAAGTAGTCAAAAAAACAGCAAAACTGACTATTTTTCTTTATATATCATTGATCTTATTGATATTCTTGATCTTTTATAAAGATAACTTCACAGCATTTGTTTATACACATTTATAAAAGATAATCATAGAAAGACACATACACACATTTGCAAACAAAAACAATTTTGCAAGCCAAGTGTAATGGGCTTATATTAACACCATATTACTTTAAGATATTGTGAAGGATTTTTCAGTGTGTATTTTGTGTAGTTTGATGTGTAGTAGCAATTGCTTAATGACTTAGTTTAATCGAGATTAGTGGAAATGTTCAATTTGACTGTTGTTTGACCTGCGCAGGCCATTCATCTTTCCTGCTAGACTCATGGACTCATTATAAATGCTTTAAAAGACTCAAATTACTGTCTACTGCTATAGTCGTCTGAAAAACCTACACATCTGTGCTGCGTTCAAGGGAGTTAGGAGGGCCTAAGCACTTGTATTAAAGCGAAAAATTTGGTGGCAGCATTCAGATGTGTGTTGTCACAGTGCAATAATCTTCCAAGGAGAAGACATCCCAGAAAATTCTCCCAAGATCAGCCTGTGCAATGCTCAGAGAAACTACAAAAAACCTGGAGAGCTACATCTCAGACTCAGTTAGCATGTTAAATGATAAAGTTCATGACAGTTCAGTTAGAAAAAGACTGAACTAGTATGTTCTGCTTAGAAAGGTTGCTAGAAAGAAGCCTCTTCTCTCTAAATCCAGCACAGCTCATGTTCACAATGGTACGTCTGAACGAACCACAACACTTCTGCATATCACCACAAACACCTCACACTAACTGCCAAGCACAGCGGTGGAGAGGTCATTATTTGGGTTGTTATACCTCCACCCAAATGAAATGTGATGTTGGGATCTTAAGCGTGCGGTGAATGGTTGCCTGAAAAACGTCAATAAACTGATGCAATGTTGTGTAGAAGAGTGGGACAAAATTCCTCCAAAGCGATGTGAGAAACTGTTAAATTATTGCTGCTAACGGTGGTTCTACAAGTTACAGAATCATGGGCTGTTTACAGGAGTGCACACTATAACTACACCTCAGGTCTGAAATGCTTAAATTGAAATGGTGACATGATGATGATTCTAGGTCATATTTGGAATCACTGACTTTGCACAAAAATCAGCTGCAACTCTTTGCAAGAGAGTGACTAAGCATCAAAATTTGCCCAAATATGGGTCCGGTTTTGGAAGCTGTACACAGTTAGACAGGATAGCTGAGCTGCTCTCAGGCTTTGTCTTCTCTTGTTTCACTCAGTCTCCGCACTATTAACTTTCCCATTTCATCTCATGATGTCTCCTCTCTAGTGCTGCAGTAGTAAGAGGTGAGTCAGCATGAGACAGATAATTGTGGTGATAAGTAGAGGGTGCCTGAGGAAAATTAGGAGAAAAGTTTAAAAGTTAAAAACTGTTTCTAAAGTGAAGGGAGACTTGAGTGAATAAGGGTGAAGAGGGTTAGTTGGTAACATATTCATGGAAAGGGGTTGCTAATGCTGCTGTTGTCACATGGAGGTGATGTTTCACCACGGTTCCTCTTTTTTCTGTGAGTGCAGCGGGCTCTGGTGTATTTATAGTCGGTTTATTACTGTCTGCTACAAGTCACTGTTTATCAGGTGTCTAATTTTGACCATGTCTCCCTCTCACTATGTCTGTCTCTGTCTTCCTCTCAGCTGATATCCAGTGATGCAGATGGGGCCATTCAGAGGGCGGGACGCTTCAGGGTGGAGAATGGCTCCTCAGACGAGGTGCGCACTATATCACACACAAGCCTCTTGTCTCAGTCTGGCTCTCAAGGTTTTCTTGTGCTGATTTTTGGATCCGTAATTGTTTTGAGGGCCTGTTTTAACTCAGGCTGATTGAAGGTGACAGAAAATTTCATAAAATAATATTTTAAGCTCTTTTTCATTTGCCATTCTTTCACTAAATAGTATTAAAGCTAATTTAAGAGGTGGCTAGAGTAGAGTAATATAAAGACTGGAAGTATGGGAAAACTGATTTCCTGGTTCTGTCCAAAGTTACCTTCCAGGTCCTCTAAAACTCCTAATTACGATGTTATATAAAGGTGGTATTGATTTTCTTATCTAATGCTCAGCAGAGAGGACAATAAGTATCCCTTTAACATGACTCATGTAGCTGCCGCTACGAATTGCTTCTTCATGTGGTTCCCAAATTTGGGTTTATGACTCATCCATTAGGTCAAAAAGATATATCTAAGGGGTCACAAGATGAATAACGGATGATTAAACAGGCCTGTTTCATAAATTCTGGCTTTTCTCCCATAGTTGGGTTTTTTTTCTTGTTAAATGCAGGCCAGTTTGCTTTCTGTAGCTGCTGAAATTGTTCACATCAAGCAATCTACACACTCCTGGTGGACACACCATTATTTTATAGTGATATGCACAGGGGTTAGTGCGGTGCCAGAGCACAGCAAACACTTTTTTTCTCCCCTGAGGAAGTAGAATTGCCACATTTATCATAAACCTTATTTTGTGCCAGAGAGCCCATGAAAACAAACTGACAAATTGGTCAGAGCTGTCATATTGATGTGATGATTGATTTGCAATGTCAGCTCGAGCACAGCAAGCAAACGTTCCAACTTTGAAGCTGCCGTTAGCTGCAGGCTACCTTCAGAGGGTACAGGGATTTCAATTTTTTTTTTATCTCGTCTGTCTAGTGGGGTTTTTTGTGGGGAAAAAAAGATGAAATTTAAACATTTTTTTTCGCTTGTGGCAGGTCTTTATTTACCTCACCTGCTTAAACTGATCATATACGTCATTCCTTTTTTTGACAACTATAGTCATATTTTAGTCCCTTTTGAGTTAGTGCTTTATCCTGTTTACACAGCCTCAACATTTCTTTTTATCTGTGTTTAATTAAATTCCTTTTATACTAAGCCATCCCATTTCTTATTAAGGCTTTAATTGTGAAACATTTGTTGTGGAAACATCAGGAAGATTTTTATGTGAAGAAATACATGCACATGTACATAAAATTATTTGTGGCTATGGCATTTGTCCTCTGTCAGCTGTATGTATGACAAGAGATAACTTGAGTGAGCAGAACAAACGCTGACCAGTACTGCGAATACAGTAGCTCCTGCATTTGCTGATCTTTGTTTCCTTTTTAAGTCAATTTCCAAGAATGCAGCAACAATGCATCTCTATCATGGGGCCGCCCTATTATGATTCACTGCCTCGATTTTGTCCAACATTTTGGTATTATTTAGGATGTGATGCAATCCGCAAAGACAAAGGTTCTCTTAATCTCAAACCTTAGTCCTCCCACATTTTTAAATTGAGAGCCATGATACAAGTAATAAACAGTTACATTATAGCTTGCTTTTGCTGTATCTGATTTCCTGCCCTGTAATATAATCAGTACTGTTTTATTGTGTAACAGTTTTCCACAATGAAGACTGCTGTGACTCAAGCTGTGACTATCATTATAACATTGTGGCATATGTTTGTGTGTGTGTGTGTGTGTGTGCGTGTGTGCGTGTGTGTTTGAAACAGACTTTGGACTACACTCCAGGAACCTGGAGGAGAACCGATGTCCATCTGGAGAATCCAGAGTACCACACCAGATGGTTCTTTAAATACTTTTTGGGAAAAGGTCAGTGCTTCTCTGCTGTGCTCTGTATAAAAAATACACTCACGCACAGAGCTAGCATGACATAGATCAAGAAATGCCTCCATATTTGGAAGCTTGTTATCAGCCTTGTCCTCATGCACCGCTTTTCATTCATCTAACCATATCCCCACTGAGAGTCTTAACTACACTCCAGCCCAATACGTCACCCAAGGAGAAAGCTCACTAAGGACATACAGTATCACTAGACAGACAACGCTGCACAAGATAGCACAATTAAAATTTTACCCTTAGCTTCTGAAATGAGACTGTGCAGCAACCTAGCAACTGTGAGAAGCTGTTAGGAATTATTTGTATTGGTCACCTGTCCTGCACCTTTTTCATAATTTCTCCACCCGCATTATTCCCACTCTGCATTACTTCCATAGTCTTAAAAGCTCATTGCTGAGGCTTCCCTGTAATGAGTTTAGTGAGGAAGATCAGCTGAGAGGTGAGGTAAAGAGCAGAGATATTTGTGAAGGAAAGTTAAGACAGGAAAACTATCAGCTATGGAATAACAGAATAAGAGGCATCTTTTTCCTCTTCTGGCCAGGGTCTAATCATACTATGGCACGGGCAGTTTAAAAATGAGCCACGTCGCAAGAAATTTGGCTCGACCTGTTTTGGACCGCAGCTGAGCCATCTGTGTCTCACAGCCCGGGCAGAGTCGACTGCATCGCACAAAACAACACATTATGAACTCGAGGCCAGCTACTTTAACACAAGATTCCTGTTTGATGAAACACCCACAGTGGCACACATCTTACTGATAAGAATAAATCTTTCTGTGTCTGTTTCCCTGTTATACTCCATTAAATATGACAATAATTCTTGAGGCTGCTCAAAAAGAACGAGGCTCAGTAGTAAGCCAATAATTGGAACACAGCTTCACGTTACTGCTTACCTTAAGCTTAAAAACATCACCGATTAGGAATAAACAGAGCTTATAACCAAATAGAATAAAAGAGACACACACACACACAGGAAAAGAAAGCATTAGCTGAGGTGAGGACGAAGAAAGAGGCAGCAGAGAACCTGCATCTAATTGGGTTTGGATGGCTGTTTGGCATTGTTTGGATATGTTACCCTGTCAACCAAAGAGGCAGAGACTCTGCTGCGATCTGTGTAACTCTAGGTTTTGAATGAAAGAAGAGAATTTAATGAAAGAAAAGGCAGGAAGGAAGACAAAAAATGAAAAAACATCAACAACAAAAAGACTAAAAACACAGATAAAACAGCAGAGAGATGACTGGGCCCCTACTATGACAGAAAAATCTAAATTTTTAACTTAAACTAATCAAAACTTTAACACCAGGAGAACCAGCCTGGAGGTGGAATAACATGGGTCAGTTCAAGTAGATAGCTTACTCTGTCCATCTGTCAAAGTCTTCTTGGATTTTATGAATCAAAGTCCCAGCGTCCCACTGTGTATGGCTGAAAAGCAGAATCTTGGATTTCAACCAGAGGACTGAGTAGCCATAGAACTTTCCAAAGCAGTTGATCAGAGTGTGGACTGACAGAAAGTGAGTTGTCAGATTAGTTAATAAAGAAGAATGTTATCTGCATATAAACTGAATTTTTGATTATGTAAATTTGTTGCTATACCTATGATGTCATCAGTCTGTCTTATGGCTGAGACAAGAAGTTCAATGAAAAGTGCCAGAAGAGATGATGATTATCCTTATCTCGTACCTCTGTTTAAATTGAATGGGTTGGATATTTGTCCATTAGTGATTACAGATGCTGTTGGAGTGTTGTGTTGTATAGGATTAGCTGTTTATGTAAGGACCAAATCCAAAATGTTATAGGAGGCAGAAATTTCCAACTCAATTTATCATTTTTTTCCTGCATCTAGAGTAAAAATTATGGCAGGGCTTTGATTTAATATCCATTTTACTATTGTATAAGTTAATCAGTTGAATAATCTTGATCTCTTAATCTTAATCATATCTGTAAATGATCTCTGTCCACCATAGTCCACCAAAATTATGTGGGCACGGATGCAGAGAAGAATCCCTTCTACCTATCGGTGGTCCTCTCGGACCAGAACAACCAACGTGTTCCCCAGTACCGAGCCATCCTCTGGAGAAAGACGGTGAGTTCACTGTCTATGCACCTAGCAGCAGTAATTTTAAATGCGTCACATCTCTTAGACCTTCAGGATGAGTGTTGGGGAGTAACAGAATACATGTACCACCGTTACGTATTAAAAATACAAAATATGAGTAACTGTAGTCCGTTACAGTTACCGTTTAAAAAGGTGGTATTCTGAATACAGTTACTTTGTTGAAGTAACTGGATTACACGGCGGTCTTTTCCTGTTTCATATGTTAGGCTGTCCCCTCTCTATTTTTGGTAATTCCACGCCGGTGGAAACCCAAACAAAACCTGTGTCTCAATCTCTCGGCCCATGTCATCCCTACTTGCGGCCCAAATAATGACGTGACGAAATATTTTCAAAAATTATTGTTCAAAAAATTATTTAATATGAATGCAATAGGCAGAGTGTTATTGGCATAGCCCTAAAGAATGTAGCCTCATGGACAGTGTAGCCCAGTAAGCTATTAAGACTCGACTCTCTCTGTCTCTCGCTGGCAAAGTTGACACAGACAACAAAGTAAAGCTAGTTTTCGGCTACGAGCCCGACACAGAACTGACGTATTAGCCAGAGGTCCCTTTTGGAGCTGTGGGCCTGTTTTATATACACGCGGAATAGTTTTCTATACGAGATCGCTCCAAAAAGTGCAGCCTTACCTAATGTCCACCTACTGTTACTCATTTTATATTAAGATTTAAAAATCTGGTTGGTATTAGTATGGCGAATAACCTTCAGTAATAGTAATAAATCACACAGCAATAGTACATTCATGTAGTTGTAAAAAGCTTGATAATATATTAAGTAATCCAAAGTATTCAGAATACGTTACTCTGATTGAGTAACGTAACGGAATACGTTACAAAATACATTTTGGGGCATGTATTCTGTAATCTGTAGTGGAATACATTTTAAAAGTAACCTTCCCAACACTGTTCAGGATATATGCAATACTTTTTTTTCTGAGTAAAATGATATATAAGGTTTTATATTTTTGCAGGTATCATTAATTGAAAGCATTTTCAGCAAACTGTATCATATGACATGACTGCATTTCATTGTATTGTAAGCAGTTTCTCACTGTTGGACCGATAAATGCTGAGATACTTTTCAATAGTTTCATCAAATAGCTGCAGCCCAATGACATGATCAACAAAAAAGTCGTGGAGTCTAAATTCCCATAAAATATAAAGTCTCCAACTAAAAGTGCAGGTATTAAAAGTTTTAGCACACTGGTGCAAAGATTAATCCTGAACACAGACATTTTCTGCTTAATTAAACAGTTGTGGGAGGTGTGTTTTTTGTTCCTCAGATCTAAACACGGAAAAGCACAAAATGTGCAAAGTCCCTTAAAAATAGTCTTTAAGGCACTATGCTACTCCACTTTTGAGTCACCGTTTGTGTAGGTGTGTGTGTGTGTGTGTTAGAGAGAGATGCATGATTATTATGGTGTGCATCTAGTTCTGTGATTCAGTTTCATGACCAAGATAGCTTGGATCTAATTTTGCCCTCCAGCCTCGTCTGGAACCTGATTAGGGTGATGCACCTCCGCTGCCTGATCACATTGATTTATCTTGTTTCTGTCAGACTCTAACTGGTACAGGATGTTGTTGTTGAACAGAACAACTTTGTCTTCTCTTGAATTGCTTCTGTTTAATCTTTTAAGTCCTCTGTAATTATTCTGCGAGTAGTTGAAAAATCTCTTTTGTGGTCTGAATTTCTAAATACACACACCAAAAAATGTACTAATTATTTCCAAAATGAACAGATGTATAAAACCCACTATGTTATAATATGATAATCACTGATCTGTGTCACTCTTGTTCACACAGGGGACTCTGAAGATTTCCCTTCCCTACAGCCCAACAAAAACACTATCAGTCAAGTCCATACTAAGGTGAGACGTGCAGCTCAGACCTTGTAGTCACTACTCTTTATGCCCTCTTTCCAATGCATGAATGAGATTTTATATTGTTGTTTTCTCATTCTACAGTTCAGATGTAATTATTTGCATTGCACAATCTAACTGAACTTAGAACAAAAGAAACATTCAAATCAAATCAAATCACAGCAATACAAGGTAAAGATCTACAGCAGTAGAGAAATAACCCCAACAGATGACCCCCTATGTGCAAGCACTCGGTGACAGTGGGAAGGAAAAACTCCCTTTTAACAGAAACCTGCAGCAGATGGTTGAGGGGGAGGAAGACAGGGAAAATACACACTGTGGAAGAGAGCCGGAGTTTGACGTGAACTAATGATTAAATGTAAAGCAGAGAGTAAACAGACAGAGAGTAAAAAAATGTGAGAGAAGAAAAAACAATCAGTGCATAATGGGAAGCTCCAAGCAGCCTAGGCCTAGTGCCGCATAACTAAGTTAAAGTTTTAAGCCTAATCTTAAAAGTAAAGGGGCTGTCCGTGTCCTCTAGCCAAAGTGGGAGCTGGTTCCACAGAAGAGAGACCTGAACGCTGCATCAGTGACTGGTAACAAGATATTAAAATATGTAGAAAACAGAAGGTTTGAGATTTTAAATTACTCAAGGCTAAGTTGCTGCACAAACTCTAAATGAATACAAATGGTTCAAGCTAGATGGGAAATCCCCTGTATCAGGTTTTAATGAGTGTTAACCTTTGGGCTGTTTGTCTTTCGTCAACACTAAACACTTGGGGTTTTTGTCTCTGTTTCTTCCACTCCTCCTTTTTCTGCCGCTCCTGCTTCTGCCTGTACAGTGCAATGAACATGGACAGGTTTGAGAAAGGCCCCAGGGAAATCCTCAACCCAGAGATTCAGAAGGTGAGAATGACACCAGCACAACGGCAGGCTCTTAATGAAATATAGCACCGACCCATTTCATGCCAACCCGGATCAGCAACATCTAAACTTCATAATGTCCTTAGGCTGTGTCATCTCTAGCTGTAGTGCTGGTCAGTGACAGTTGTTGTGTCCTCTTTCCCCAGGACCTGTTGGTGTTGGAGGAACAGGAGGTATGAATATGATATGTTTTTCATGGGATAAGTTAGCATGTCTGCAGTAATCCTGGAATTTTCTGTCATTAATGCAGTTTGATTTTCTTTTTTCTAGTGTTCTGCATGTTTGAGTCTATATGCTTTTATATGCTGAAATGGTTGCATGTGTACAACTACAATTGTTCTTTCAAGTGTTATGCAGATTAATATTTTTCTTTCTTGGTCATCAGTATTTAGCCTTTCTTGTTACCTTTTGTGGATCTTTTGTTTAATCTATTACATGTTATTTTACATTTCTTTAAAAAAAAAACGTAGAATTTATTTTGAATTGTTAATCTCTAATCTAACTCAATTTTCTTTTAGGGTTCTGTCAATTTTAAGTTTGGTGTGCTGTATGCCAAAGATGGACAGCTCACAGATGACGAGATGTTTAGTAATGGTAAATTCTGCTATGCTCATTTATTATTTAGTGTTCGAATTAAAGACTGTATATTAAAAAGGACAGTCACTGTGACATCAACCATTTATGAGTGTATTATCATGTTGAAGCTTAATATGAACAATTAGGTTGCTGCCATCTTTGGGCATCATCATTTTTGGTCACTAGCGCTAGCTTGTTTAGCCCTTAAACGCCGATGGGAGTGCCCTTAATTCCATTTGCGTAACTATTTTTAAATCCCGGTAGACCCACAATCAAATAAGATGAGGCATTTTGACATGAAAACAGAGGAGTTTACTTACATATCATGCATTCAACTTGTCCCTGGCCGCAGTCTCCTTCTACTAATGGGTTTGCAAAATAGCGTCAGAAGAAATCCAGACACACGCTTTGCGGATCTGATCAACTTTCCATTGCACTTCCTATGCTGGAATAAACATCATCACATTATCAGCATGAACTAACACGTCTGCGATTTACTGCGAAAACCAGAAATTATGTCATTTTTGCAGGAATTTTTCTTTTTTTTTTTTTCAGGGCCATTTTAAGATCCGCTAGTGATAATGAAAGTTATGTTTGACTTTGTGCCTTTTTTACACTTAGAACTTTGATTTCACTGTTGGAAATAGTTTTACAGAAGAGGATTAGGGCTACCGAAAGAAAAAAAAAGTGGGCAAGTATTTTTTTGACATTAAAGTCAGACTTCTGAGAAAAAAATAATTCTGATGAAAAAGTTAGAATTCTGACTTTTTCATCAGAATTATTTTTTCTCAGAATTCTGGAAAAGAAGAAAAAGAAAGACTTGCCCACTTTTTTTCCAGTGGTCCTAATCTTCTTCCGTATAGTTTATTTTGATGCACATGCAGGGTTTCTTTGCACATTAATATCTATTTTTGTTTTTGTTGCAGTTTATAAAAAATGTAAAACTGAAATTATGAAGTCCGAATGAATTTCCTGTGGTTGAAAACTATTTCATTCAACTTTCTTTGCATTTAAAATTTCGAGGGCTACACCTTTGATATTTCTGTAACTAGAAAAATGTGTAAGCAAAACAAAACCGATTTTCAATTTTTTTGTAGTTTATTAGAGTTTTTAGTAATTTATGTAGTTACTATGGACTTGATACATACATATTATTCAAATTTGGGATATAACGGTTGTATTGATCATAGCAACTTGCATGCATAGCAATGCTCTTAAAAAAGGCACTACAGCATGTAAAAATATAGAAAACATAAAGTAAGCTCTGATGGCCTTGTTAAAGGATAGGCTTAAAACAGTTAGCAAGATGACAAGACTTTCTATAACCTCATTAATGTTACTAACCAAGCTAGCTTTTTCACCTTGTTTACAGTTTTCATGTTAAGCTAAGCTAAACTAAGCTTAGCATATAAACTTAAGAGTGGCGTAGATCTGGTCACCAAAAGTGTACTTTTTCCAAAATGTCAAATTAAAATAAAAAACACTACATACCACAATAGACGATATCTGCTTAGTGACTTGTGTTGTTGCAGAGACGGGAAGTGAGAACTTCGACAAGTTTCTCAGTCTGCTGGGTGATACCATTACACTGCAGGGATGGGCAGGTTACCGAGGAGGGTTAGACACCAAGAGTAAGAATGTGCACCGTTTGATCACATAACAAAACATCACATTCAAAAGGAGGCCATCCATTAAGGTTTTTTTTTCTCTGTGTTATGTTATACTGTTTTTGTCTGCAGATGACACTACAGGAATTAAGTCCATCTACACAGTGTATCAAGGTCATGAGCTCATGTTCCACGTCTCCACGATGTTACCCTACTCTAAAGAGAACAAACAGCAGGTGCGTTACAAGTGTGGTTGTACACATTTGGTCTCTGTTTTTTTGTAACACTTTTAGTGTTTTCTCGATTTCATATATTTTTACATCGTTGTTTTTTTTACAGTCAGCCACTATGTCTCTCCGGATCATTGGTCTAGATCAGGGGGTGGGCAATTCCAGGCCTCGAGGGCCGGTGTCCTGCAGGTTTTAGATCTCACCCTGGGTCAACACACCTGAATCACATGATTACTTCATTACCAGGCCTCTGGAGAACTTCAGGACATGTTAAGGAGCTAATTTAGCCATTTAAATCAGCTGTGTTGGTTTAAGGACACATCTAAAACCTGCAGGGACACCGGCCCTCGAGGCCTGGAGTTGCCCACCCCCTGGTCTAGATGAAATATTGTAGTATGGATACATGAGATAAGCATTTGTACAAACATTCATGATGTTCAGAAGAATCATTCTAATAGTTTTGGTAAAACCTTGAAATTGTGGTTTTCCGTGAAATATCTTTTTTAGATTTTTAGCCAACATCAGCTGATGGCTCCTGATACCCTGCCCCATTCTGCGCTGGGGTCTTAATGATCTCTTTCCCCACCTCTGACTTTATATGTGTTAGACCACCAGTCATAAAACCAACAAAACACAAATATTTTAAAAATCTGTCAAAAACACCTTTATTTATTAGACAGTTAACAAACTGAATCCATGCACCATTTCAGCCAGCCCACTGGCTTTCTCTCAGAAGTTGGAAGTTAGTTAAGCTTTAAATTCAACCACAATAGCTCATGTTTCCATTCAGGAATGCAAGTAACTGACTGTAATTTGGCATCTTAATCAAAAAACAATAATTTCCTATACTATTTTACCTGTTTTTTATGTAAAACGGTACATTTCAAAATTCATCAATAACAACAATAATTATAGTTTAGCATTAAAAATATAATTTTGATTACAGAGCTTACTCAAACTGATGCATTAACCATTACACAAACAAATAAAAGAAAAGAAAAATGGTAATGACCAGTTCAATCACTTAAGGCAGCTGTGACATAAACCTGACATTGCACTCTGAAGGCTGGGAAGCCATACACAGCTACTGTCTGTAGCACGTCTCATTAAATACTGCAATCATACAAAAGTGACAAAAATACCAGGAGACTGACAACACTGTTGTTCAGTACTCCTTTCAATGTCTATTTCTGTATCTTTATGTATACAGTTGTTATGTATGCATAAGGGAGTGCTGTGGCATGAATGCAGTAGAATCCTGTTAGTATAGGAGGAGAAGAATAAAAAGAAATGGGCATCGTTGCCTCCTTCTGTAATCCCAGGTTGTTTTAGGTATGACTTCAAAGGGCTGCTGCTTAGCAAATCTGACACATCTTGAGATATTCACTCTGGCAGTGATTAATAAGGAATAGTCTGTGCCTGTAGTGCATGTGGGTGCATGACTGAGAAGAGCTCCAGTCACACTCTACATCACACCTTAGTGTTGGTGTAATGTAAAGTCAGATTGTTTTAACTGGTGAAGGTGTTGTGTTAATCATATACAGCAATACTTCTGTATTGTTTGATATGAAAGAAATATATTTTTACTGGTAATGGGACCACGAGAGTTTCAGACTAGACTTTGGGCATTTTTACATGATTGTATAGGTTTAAAATCTGACATTTTGGCTTAGTTTTAGTCCTGGAAGAAAAGAAACTCAGTAAATTTTAATAGATGATCAGTGAATTAAGGACAAACACACTGCATGACACAAAGTGCATGCATTTGTGTGGTCTCAAAAACACTGGTTGTCACGGTGTGGCATGGCACACCGTGGAAGGAGTGGGGAAGGAGGACCCAGGCGCGGTGCTCTATGTATAGACAGTGTTTATTTACAAAGTGAAACAACGTAACAATAAATCCCCGTGTTCTCCCAGACTCCAGTGTCGTGTCTCCCCGTGAATAGTCCGTGTTTCTGTGCTCTCTCCGCTCCCGTGTCAGCACCCCCCGGTGCTCGCTGCTCTCGTGTCTTCCACGCTGCTCCTGCGGGAAACATAAGACGCAGCCGTCAGGACACATACAACTGCGGGCATGCACACACACTAACTCAATAACAGGACGACTAACGTGGAGTCTCATGCAATGATCCCGCGTCGGTGGGAGCTCCAAGACTCTCCTAAGTAGCTCCCCCGACGAGCCCTGATCAGCGGCAGGTGTGTGGCTTCGGGTGTGGCCAGTCCTTCCACAGGGCCACACCCCTCAGGCCTGCAGGTGGCTGAGCTCCATCCTCCAAGCATACCCGCAGACGTACACACACACACATCTACAAACATGGAGAAGAGCAGCAGCAACACCAAAATACATATAATAATAATAATAATAATAATAATAATAATAATAATAATAATAATAATAATAATAATAATAATAATAAATAACTGCTCAGGGATCCTGGGTCGCCCAGTCCCAAGACCCTGACACTGGTAAAGTATTTGGGTTGCTGATTTGGCCTAGCAAATCATAGGAATAATGTTTCTATAGCTCCAGAACCTGCCCAATAACTACCATGTTTCAAAGTCAAAGAATGCATTGGTCATCATCTGTACATGCAGTTCTGTATTGCCATTTATTAAAATAACAATTATTGGTAGATAATTCCTGTGACACATAAATTGCAGGGTGCCGAGGTTAATTTGCCGTGTTTTTCCTTATCTCGGTGTCTCTCTTGTTCATCTATTCTGTCAGGTGGAGAGAAAGAGGCACATTGGAAATGACATTGTTACCATAGTATTCCAGGAAGGCGATGATGCCTCGTCATCCTTCAAGCCGTCTATGATCCGATCACACTTCACCCGTATCCTTCACATGGACAGCGACTGTCACAGAGATTAAGTGGTAGCCAACAACATGAGCCATGTTTACACCAGCTTGAGATAATGAAGTCACATCCACATCAGAGCAGTGGAACTGTATGTGTTTGACTGTATGTGGTTTAATTGTTTCCTTTACTTTCACATCTAGATATTTTTGCATTAGTTAGGTACAATAGCCAGAATGACAGTTACAGGTGAGTGTGTTTGGTTTACAGAAGAGTCGATGAAGTTACTTGATCTGCGGCTCTTTACGATCTCATGTGTGTGCTCTCTGCCGCAGGTTAAAGATCTTCTCAGAGGAAAGCGTTCCACTGTTTGGACCCCCTCTCCCATCCCCGCCTGTATTTACCGATCACCAAGAATTCAGGGACTTTTTATTAGTCAAATGTATGAAAGTGTTCAAAAAAAGTTAATCAGATATGCTGACATCTTTGCGTCCCCTCTGTCTCCCTTACACTGATCTTCCCTCATTTCCTTCAGTAATCAATGGAGAGAAAGCCACACTGGAGACACCGACGTTTGCCCAGAAGCGTCAGCGGACCCTCGACATGCTGATCCGCTCGCTCTATCAAGACCTCATGCCTGACCTGCACAAGGTACAGCAGCGTTTCCGTCCACGACTCTGCTGCAGAGACCTGTTGTTGTACTTTTTTTTGCCATCAATCCACTCTTCTCCTCCTGACTCCTCCTTGTCACTTCAGTCACTTGCAGCGACTGGAGTCGCTGCTGATTTGTCCTCTGCTGTATTCCACTGCAGCCTCCGCATACTGCACCACACTCCACTGGATTCTGCTGCAATGCTGACTTTCTCAGCAGGGCTCTCTCTCCTCACATCACTTTAGTTCTTATATCTGTTGTTTTTTCCCCTCCTTTCACTGTTGCTCCTAATACAGCTTAGTTCAAGCAGTGCACTGTTCACTCTTGCTGTTCTCACTTCACTTCTAAGACCCTTGTTGCTTTTCTTTTTCTCTCTCCGTGTGGCTGCGTGTGTGCGCGCATGTGTCACATTTTGTGCGTTCCATGTTTAGGTTCCCTTTTCTCCCCAGAACATGTTAAACAGACGGTCCTTCAGCGATGTGTTGCCCGAGTCTCCAAAGTCGGCACGTAAGAAGGAGGAGGCACGCCAGGCTGAGTTTGTCAGAATAGGGCAGGTAACTAAGTACTGAGCACACAAAGACATGTAAAATAGCCTCATGTGTTCTGTGAGAAACTCCAAAGAGCAATTCTGTGCAAGTCTTAAGCCACCTCTCATTTTCATTCATTTTGCTATGGGAGAAAGGTGCAACAGTTTATTGAAATATGTGCAAACATATATGGAAATACAGCATATATAAGGTAAAAACATAGTTTGTACAAATTTAATGAGCTTGAAAGTCAATATTTGGTATGACTACTTTCAGTCTGAACTCTCTCAGGCGGTCCTCAGGAACAGTTCTCCAGGCTTGCTAAAAGCCATTCAGAGCTCTTATTTGGACATCGGCTGCCTTTCCTCTGTTAAGATGATCCCACACTGTTTCACTAATGTGGATTTCCCCTGACCTCCTGCGTACATATTCACATGTACAGAATTGAACCAAAAGTTTCAAATGCGGATACATCAGTTGCCACTGATTTGTGGTCCAGTTCTTGTGTTATTTGACATAAATAGAGGGAGGGCCTGAAGAGATGTATCTGCTGTAGATAGATTTTAGGTCTGGCACTTCTTTTGTCCTCCACTTATCCAGTTTCCTCAGATGTTTTAAGAACAAACTGCACACCATGCCAAGAGTTTGGCTAATAGTTATTTGGGAATCACCTTGTTGTTGCAAAAATGCTATTTTATGCCTGTCAGACTGTGTTATCATTAACATTTTTGTAGATTCACTGAAGAAGTAGTCTGAAAATAGTCAGGTAAAAGGACAAAACTGAAAAGGAGAGAAAAAGCTGCCAATGTCCAAAGAAAAGCTTTGAAAGATGTTCAGAAAGACTAAAGAGCCATTGCTCAGCTCCATATACAGTGGGGCAAAAAAGTATTTAGTCAGCCACCAATTGTGCAAGTTCCCCCACCTAAAATGATGACAGAGGTCAGTAATTTGCACCAGAGGTACACTTCAACTGTGAGAGACAGAATGTGAAAAAAAAAATCCATGAATCCACATGGTAGGATTTGTAAAGAATTTATTCGTAAATCAGGGTGGAAAATAAGTATTTGGTCAATAACAAAAATACAACTCAATACTTTGTAACATAACCTTTGTTGGCAATAACAGAGGTCAAACGTTTACTATAGGTCTTTACCAGGTTTGCACACACAGTAGCTGGTATTTTGGCCCATTCCTCCATGCAGATCTTCTCGAGAGCAGTGATGTTTTGGGGCTGTCGCCGAGCAACACGGACTTTCAACTCCCGCCACAGATTTTCTATGGGGTTGAGGTCTGGAGACTGGCTAGGCCACTCCAGGACTTTCAAATGCTTCTTACGGAGCCACTCCTTTGTTGCCCGGGCGGTGTGTTTTGGATCATTGTCATGTTGGAAGACCCAGCCTCGTTTCATCTTCAAAGTTCTCGCTGATGGAAGGAGGTTTTGGCTCAAAATCTCACGATACATGGCCCCATTCATTCTGTCCTTAACACGGATCAGTCGTCCTGTCCCCTTGGCAGGAAAACAGCCCCATAGCATGATGTTTCCACCCCCATGCTTCACAGTAGGTATGGTGTTCTTGGGATGCAACTCAGTATTCTTCTTCCTCCAAACACGACGAGTTGAGTTTAGACCAAAAAGTTCTACTTTGGTTTCATCTGACCACATGACATTCTCCCAATCCTCTGCTGTATCATCCATGTGCTCTCTGGCAAACTTCAGACGGGCCTGGACATGCACTGGCTTCAGCAGCGGAACACGTCTGGCACTGCGGGATTTGATTCCCTGCCGTTGTAGTGTGTTACTGATGGTGACCTTTGTTACTTTGGTCCCAGCTCTCTGCAGGTCATTCACCAGGTCCCCCCGTGTGGTTCTGGGATCTTTGCTCACCGTTCTCATGATCATTTTGACCCCACGGGATGAGATCTTGCGTGGAGCCCCAGATCGAGGGAGATTATCAGTGGTCTTGTATGTCTTCCATTTTCTGATGATTGCTCCCACAGTTGATTTTTTCACACCAAGCTGCTTGCCTATTGTAGATTCACTCTTCCCAGTCTGGTGCAGGTCTACAATACTTTTCCTGGTGTCCTTCGAGAGCTCTTTGGTCTTGGCCATGGCGGAGTTTGGAGTCTGACTGTTTGAGGCTGTGGACAGGTGTCTTTTATACAGATGATGAGTTCAAACAGGTGCCATTCATACAGGTAACGAGTGGGGGACAGAAAAGCTTCTTACAGAAGACGTTACAGGTCTGTGAGAGCCAGAGATTTTCCTTGTTTGAGGTGACCAAATACTTATTTTCCACCCTAATTTACGAATAAATTCTTTACAAATCCTACCATGTGAATTCATGGATTTTTTTTTCACATTCTGTCTCTCACAGTTGAAGTGTACCTCTGGTGCAAATTACTGACCTCTGTCATCATTTTAGGTGGGGGAACTTGCACAATCGGTGGCTGACTAAATACTTTTTTACCCCACAGTATAGAAATCGTGGTATAGTGTTGTAGAAATGACATTGCAGACCTTGAACAAGTCATAGTATTTTTTTTTTTACATGATTATTGTTCACAAAATCCTTTTTTTGATCAGCTTCTATTGTAGTGAACACTTCAGACTTGCGCTGTAATCAGAGGCTTAATTCAGAAAGAGGAACAAATTGCTGAAAAACATCATTGAGCTTTATACAGCCCTATACACTCCATTTCTCCATATTTGGGCTTTTTTGGTGGGGGCGTATTTACTTTATGGGTCATGTATTTTTGATGTAATTTCCAGGAAACTTTCTAAATGATTTAGCTACTCAAAGAAATTAAAAAGGGTGTTAAAATTTGTCCTACTCATAAGAGAAAAAAGTGCTTCCACAGTTACCAGCTTCTTCTGTTTGATGTTTTAAGAAGAAAAGTAATAATTTGTAAGGCAAGTGAAAAGTAAATGCTAATCGGAGTTGCCTGGGAAGTCAAACAATAATCCTAAACTTAACAGAAAAGGTACCCGAGTCACTTCAGTCTGGTCTTTAGAAATGAAACTGCCTAGCATGGGTTAGTGTATTTCGCTCTATTCTCTTTGTTTCCCTCTAAAAATGCAGATGTAATGAGTGCTGCCTACCACTGCAGGAGAAACTACCCTCTCTCAGTCATTAATGAGGAAGCTCTTTGTACTGATTGGGTTTCAAAGGCTGAATGAACTGAACACCTGCTTGCAGGAGGATAAAGAAGGAATAATAATCTAAGAAGGTCACTGTGTGGCTGATATACCTGATATAATCATACTGGGAAAAAACCTTACAAAGCACCATACATGGCAATGAACCCGGATGACCATTTTTTGTGGGAGGCTGGGAGATAGTGGGTATTTTTGATGTGATCACTCATACAGTTTCAGAGTAATGTGACTGTCAGCATGAGTTAAATTATAATAAATCAATAATTGCCCTCATAAACCGAATACATCAATAATTTTACTACAATTTGTTCTTTCTTTTTTTTTTTTGATCAACTTGAAAATCTATCCAAAGTCCAAAGGTTTGAACTGAGTAGTACTAATAATGCCTTCATCGTCACTCATTGTTTTATAATAGTCTATATGAGCCTTAAAAACTAGACACTAGTTATAACAGCTGTACCCTGTAGAAAAAACCTGTTGGAGGAAATTAGTTTTTAAAGTCAAAACCATTTATAGTCGACTCTAAACGAGCAGCTGTTTATTAATCTTAGTAATTCTCTCTTTTTCTCTTTGTTGTCCTTGTTTCCTTTTCTTTACGTAACTGTTCTATCTCGTTTCTACTGTTCTCGACTTATAAATACAAAGCTTAGGTATCGACGTGCTCTTCTATAAAGCATTAAAACAGTGGAAGACTAACATCTTCGGTCATTGATTGTTCAGTTATTTTAGGGACAAGCCATTTGTCAGCTAAACTGACTCACAGTGGGGTCAGTCACTGTGTTGTGCACGTCGTACACAGTGATGTCATGTTCCCCATTAATGTCTCATAAATCTGAATATGATTTCTCATGGATCTGTTCTGAAGGATGCTTTAGTATGCTGTATGGCTAAGCCACCGCAGTGGTGGTTTGTATTGATCTCATCATCTCCAGATTGCCTGTTTATGCAGGCATGGTAATGCTTTGTGCAGCTTGGATTGGCACTTTCAGTCAGATGGTTGCAGCTTGCACATTTGTACGAACTGTGTTTGAATTCTGAAACGGCTTTAACCTTTGATGCATTATGACTTTTCTTTTTGTACAGTCACCTTCTTGAGCCGTCACAGATCTCAGAACCTAAATAAGCATGAAAAACAAGCAATGTCAGTCCAAATAGCAGTAATAGAAAACAGCATGCGTATTTCAGCAAGTTAGGGCTCATTTATCTTGCGCAAGGTCCACGAGTGTGAAAGCGTTATTTAAATAACAGATAAATACCGTAAAATGCAATTTCCTCCACAGAGAATGACTGTGATAGATGCTAGCTCATTGGCAAGCTACCTGTTTACAGCTACATGATGGAGCCCAAAAGATAGAAAAATACATACCAGTTCATCAAGGCCTCATAATAGCCACATATAACATCAAAATATATGTTTAAAAAATGCCCCTTTAGTAGCACATAGATTGATCCTGTTTATTGAAAGAACTCAAACCCAGTGGCTGAAAAAGAACTACTTAACTCTTTACCCCTAGATACTAGGGCTGCGCGATTTTGCATGAAATGGCACTGTGTAGCGTTTGTCTAGGGTGTTGTTCATTTTCCTAAATCCCTCGTTTTGCACAGTGTTGATGGGAGCCATATCTTTGGTCAGGTGATAAGTGATAGCCTCCGTAATTTCTTTGTGCCTGCGGGAGTTCGACGTATATAGGGAAGCGCTGTATAAGGTTCCCGTTATTGATGTTTGGGTGGTTGACCGGGACGGATTTTCTCCTGTCACTTTCTCGTCATCCCTGACGTGCTCTCCGTTGTTTTTTCCCTGCCAATTTTAGCATCACACGGCACAGCTTCTGTATCACGTGGTATAAGGCTCCGCCCTTGTCATTTGTTGAGCAGGAAGAGTGAGCGCTTGTTTTCATGCAGATTACGTCCCGGATCAAAATGCGGTACAATTGTCATCTTTTTTTTAAAAATCGTTGTCATTTGGAAATGAGATCGCACATAAGTATGAATCGAGATCGCGATTTTCTAACGATTAATCGTGCAGCCCTACTAGATACCCTGTTAGAAGCAACCCTCTGATTGGTTCATGTCATATTTCAGCCTGCCTATTGAACAACATGAGTGGATGTGCATCAGAAATGAGTGAGGATGGTCTCTATTCATGCAGGTACCCTAGGGAAATCCATTTATTCTAATGGTCATTGAACCGCATCTTTATTGATATTTACTACGGCGTCAAAACTTGCCATTAATGATGCAGGGTAGATCGTCAGATCATCTTAATGGGGAAAAGAGTTCAAGAAACAGAAATATCTCAAAAAATGTCTATATTTGTGTAGGTCTGAACTTTATTCTTCATTCTGTCCTGCCTCATTTGAGGTTGGAAAATACAGAGTAACTATAACTCTGTTTATAAAAGAAATCATCGTTACCTCTAACAACCACAGCGGTAAAATGCCACCTTCTCATCGTGGCAACAGCGTTAATTTTATGCTAACATTAGCTACATGGGAGCAAATCTTGATTTCAGATGTCAGACACTGTGGTGATGCAAGACTTCAGACTTCCATCAGTGCAGAATTCAGAGGTGTACGCCGTGTGTCATATCTGATGCCGTTTCTTCCCCAGGCCCTCAAGCTGAAGACCATAGTGAGAGGCGATGCGCCGACTAGCCTCGTCACCACAGGCTTGTGCAGAAAAGAGGTGAGGCTCACATCTTTAAAGCGTCTCACCGCCTTGATCTTAATACTTGAAAGAACCTTTGAATTTTTTGCCGTTACAAAACAACTTCATGTTTGAAATGTTTAAAAAGCACTTAATGAACCCGGGGGGGTTAAATTTATGATTTATTTGTAGTCCTATCAAACCAAGTGAATATTAATCCTATTGTGCGCTGTATCAATATGTGTGTTGCAGCCATGGGAGTCCCAGTTGTTCTGCAGCACATTCCCCTATGATATCGTGTGCGCTGACTCCTGGGGTCAGTCAGTGCTGGTTGCCACAGACGCAGCAGGGGTCATGCTGCTCGATGGTGAGGTCACTAATCAATACGCCCTGTGCCATCTAAATTAAAGCACCCATGCATAATTGTTCAATACTCAGCAGAATGTCGAGAGCAGCAGCTAACATGATGATGGTAATGATGTTGTCCCTCTTTCAGGCCCTGATCCAGCAGGGTTAGGCATTGGTGAGTGACACAATCAATATTTTCTTATTTAAATGCTCTTTCTTTTTTTAATCCCTACTTGGGGCGGGGATTTTTCAATTTAATTTTCTTTAATCATGTGATTTTTGACTTGTCTTTCAGAGCCACAGAGCCTTCCCCCAGTGCACGTGTTCGACAGAACCATGGTGGTGAAGCAGATGCACGTTCTCGAGCCTCAGGACCTGCTTATCACCCGCACTGACAAAGGTAGGCTTAGACCACTGGGAGGATACTGCTAAGCACTGCCTCCCTGCACATCAGAGATCTCCTGTCATCCTTTGAAATCCTCTTTTTGACTCACAGTACTATTTGGAGCAGATTGTCTTTATGTTTGTTCTTTTTCTTCGCCTTACATTTCATCTGTCTTTTCCTGTGTGCGTTAGTGTGTACACGTTTGCCCACCTCCACTGGTCCGGTGAAAACATCGATCCATCGCCGAGATTTAAGGAAGCTGACCTGCACAGAACGAGTCCCTAAAGGGGTTCTGTGTGCATGTGTATACAAAAGAGTGTCTGTTTGTCTGAAGAACCACATAGACTGTGAGAGTGCAGGGGGTTATAAAGTACTAAGAGATATCCAGACAGGCAGACAGATAAAATTAAACACAGAGGGTGACTAAGATTTAAAGGACACACAAGTAGTTCAACCGAGATGTGGCTGTGTACTAACAAACAGCAGTTGGACTTGTCTGATGTTTGCTTTAACTGTGAAAGAATGTAAATGGTTGATCTGCAGATGATAAGCAAGTAGGGATCGTCCAGGTTTGATAGTCATTATGCGATGGCAGGCATTTGTCACGACTGTGTGTGGGCTTTGATGAAGCTTCTGCGAGTGCGCCAGCTTTAAGAAGCCTTCTAGTAATCCTCCTGCAATACCACGCCATTGCATGGCCGTGGGAGGATGCTAAATAAGAGCTAGCAAATTGAGGGTAGCCTTCGTGCAGAAAAAAACAGAAGAGCTTTTTGTTTTGTTTCCAGGAAAGGATGCTCGGCTTTATGTGTTCAGACTCAGCACAATCAAGAAAGGCCTGGAGGAGAGGCAACTAATCAGGGGCAAGTGCGACAGCCGGGAAAACAAACTGGAGAAAACGAAAGGTAACGCACAGGATCTGCAAGAATATGCACACAGTTGCACAGAATGCAAAACAATCCTCACAGTGAAAAAGGTAAATACACTTATGCAAGATAGAAAAATCTGCTTGAATTTGACAGAAGTTGAAAGCATCAGATAGTTCCCCATCCGAACACCTGTGATAAATTTTTCCCCCTGTTAATACCTTTAGGTTTATTTGAGGATAATATGAGACTACAAAATTGCTCTTTTTGTCAGCATCCTTCAACAGCAGCTCTAGTGTGAAATAGACATGCATGCTTAAATTCAAGCCATCATAAAAATAAATGTAAAAACATTTAAAGAGACATTTCCAAGACATTTAAATGTTGATACATATCAGCTACCTAGCTTAATCGTTTCTGGCATAAAAGGAGCCTGAAATGTACTTCATACATTGGTCATTCACGACTCCTTGGCTTTAAATCTATTATTTCCCCCTGCTGGTAATGCAACTTAAGCATGTGGTGGATTAGTGTGTCTGTTACCCCTTAAGGTGCTTTAAATTGTAAGGTCAAGATGCTAAAATAACACAAGAGAAAATCCCAATAATCAGGCAACCCACTGTAAGCAAGCATTCGGCGACAGTGGGAAGGAAAAACTCCCTTTTAAGAGGAAGTAACCTCCGGCAGAACCAGGTTCAGTTGGGAGTGAGGGGAGGGAGACAGGAAAAAAGGCATACTGTGGAAAAGAGCTAATTTGGTGATGAAACCTCTTACATTCAGATCAACGTTAAAACCTATTTTAAGACAGATTGGATCGACTGATAGCATCTCGCCATGCTCCTGTTGGTATAAACAGGAGATAAAGAAGTTCCTACTTGGGAACCTACTTCTCCACTGGCCTCTGGCAGGTGTTGCTTACTATCACACTCCAATGTAGCTCCAGAGCCACAGCCACCCCATAAATGTGGAAGAATGTGGTGGCTTAAGTAACCAGCACAGCTTGAAGTAAACAAGTAATCTAATTAGCATCTGTAACGACATAAACTTCTGCAAATTAACACATTTGATTGTTTTGCTATCAATTGCATGAATGTGGAAATGAAAGAGAGATTCAGTCAGCTGCATTAGGCACAAACCTAGGGGAGGAGTCAGAGAGAAACTCTGGGTTTGTTAAAGAAAATCTGCCAGCGAATAGAGTCTGTGAATAGCCCAGGGATTAGGGAATCCTCATCTCAGGGTTAGCAAACTCTGTTTTCTGGAACAGGCCTGTGCTTCATCATATTAGGCGCAGCCAAAGCCACAGTGCTGGCCTGAGATGGACATATGAAGAAATCCATGCCAAGCTGACAACAGCTCAATACAAGTAGAAAAATTTGGAAAACAAGCTTTTCGAGCAGATTGAAACCTGAGCTTTTGGCTTACAGACATAAAAAAATGTCTTTGAGCTGTAAATATTGTTCATCTGTACAAATGTTCCTAAAGAAGTAAACATCTACATTTCTGACCTGTTGAAGGATTATCTGAATATGTTTATGAGGTTGTTTACAAGGTTAACAAGTATCTAATCAATTCTGAAGTGCAACCTTAATGAATCTCCTTTTTACAGTGTACACACAAATACACACACAGTGTTATATCCACTGGTGTCATGCCAGCTGTCTGAGCGGCATGCATTGATCTGCGGGACGATGCCAGGGAACGACACCTGCAGCAGTAAACATCCATTATAGTTTCCATCTCTTTGTCAGCCTCCCCTCTCATCCGCTTTGTCCTAGGTTGCCATTTGTACTCTATTAACACCCACCACGGCTCAGAGCTGAGGATAGTAGCAGCCATCAGGAACAAACTCCTCCTCATCACCAGGAAACATCCGCGTTTCAGCGCCGTCGCCACAGGAGCGGATTCTCCAGTGGAGGAGTTTCAGTACATACGGGTAAATCAAAGTCCACATGAGCAAAGAGAAGGTGGAAAAACAGCATATGAATCAAGCATGCACATTGTATTCAATACCCAAATGTAATGGGGGCTAAAAAAGAGTCTAATTATCTATCAAACAGAAGAGGGTGAAAGAAGAACGAAGACAGGAGTGTAAAAGTAAAGAGTGCTAATGTTAACCACGTGTACCACGCTCCCATTAGGAGATCTGTCTGTGCGACCCGCCGGTGGTGATGTCGCTGGTGGACGGTCCAACCGGGGAAAATGATAATATGATTTGTGTGGCCTACAAACATCAATTTGACCTGATCAATGAGAGCACTGGAGATGCCTACCGGCTTCATCACGCAGAGGCCAACAGGGTGAGGCACACAGGCACACACACACATATTAGCGGCTTTCTCTTTGCTTTCTTGCATTTCTATGTGATGTTTATTGAAGCCAAACGGGACTGAAACCTTTAGTTAGCGGCTTTATTTACCTGCTGATTACCAGCCTGCTTGGGTGAATCAAACATTGTCATTCTCAGCAGGGAGAAATGGATGAGCAGGCTGTAGGATGAACAGCTGCCTTAATAAAGCATCTCATTCTGCTTTCTATTTAGAGAAGAGTAAATCTGTAGCTGACATGCAGTGTATCTTCTGTATTGCCCTGAGGGTGCTGACCTGACATTATTTGTTAAAAACAGTGTCTCCTATTTGACCTTTCGCCTCTGAACCGTCTTTGATTTCACTAAACTGACTTCTTTGTGCCTGCAGGTAAATTTTGTAGCGGCCATTGATGTGTATGAAGACGGGGAGGCAGGTCTGCTGTTGTGTTACAACTGTGAGTGCCCCCCACCACCATCCCTCTCTTGACTCCAGACATTTCAGATGTTGTGTAATGTCGGCTATCTGCCTTTTTCCTCTGTGACTGGAATAAAAATAATTGCACAGAGACAGCTCCAGAATATTAAGAGTGAGGGAGCTTTTTATCCCTCTGCTTCAGCTATATAAAAGGACAAAAAGCTGTCTGCCCTCTTCGACTCACAATAAAAGGCTGCTGTCGATCGTGGTGTAACATAAATACCTTTAACCTGAATCCTGTGTGTCTTTTGCAGATATTTGTTACTATAAGAAAGTTTGTCCGTTTAACGGCTCCACACCGATGATCCAGTCCAACACCTCGGATTTCCACTTCAGCTGGAACCAGATGCCTAATGCTATTGGTAGGTTGCCACGGCAACAGTTCTCGGGGCCCCACCCTGCCCATTGCTGCTGAGCTTCGTGTCACCATGGAAACGTCATGTGTAATCACAAGCATCCGACTGGCCCAAGTGATTACTTGTGCGTGTGTTTCTGTGTACGTTTTATTATTAACACAGAAGGTGATGAAAATTTTAAAAAAAAAGCTGGTGTTAAACCCATAACCCTGGCACTGCTCATAACAAAATGCTGCCCCTCTGGCCTCCTGTGCATCCGTAATGTGTCCTGCTTTAATATGCACATAGACACTAAAGCCAACAGTGCAGAGTAATCGCACAAATGTATTAAAACATGTGGAACATCTTCAATTTAAAATCAGCTCACACCACTGGAATATAAAACAGTAATTTTCATAATTTAAAAAAAGTAATCACACCCTTTTGATATAGTATGCTGGATCTTATCCTCCTGGTGTCTTTGCAGTTTGTGCATTTCCTTACATCCTGGCCTTCACCACGGACTCCATTGAGATTCGACTAGTGGTCAATGGCAATCTTGTGTACACAGCAGTGGTCCCGGAGCTGCAGCTGGCTGCTTCGCGGGTCTGTATAAATGACAACATATACACCCACTGAACAAGAATCCTCAAGTTTGTGAATTTAGTTTCACTGTCAGGCTTCACTCAGTTGTAGAAGAAGATGTCTGGGAGCTCTCATTTCAATCCATCTTTATTATCCCTGTGGGAAATAAGGCTGGTAATCTGCATGGCTGCAAAAGCAATAATACAACTATGATTTATACACTCCGATAATTGCAAACAGAACAGTGCGCCTGAGATCCAATGATTCATTCTGATTCTTTGTTCTTTCTTTTTCACCTGCTGCTTCAAACCTTTCTGTTTTCCTGCCTTCTCTGCACGTCCATCATTTCCCTCTCATTTCCCTCTCTGCTTGCATCTGCTTTTTCCACCCACAGTCAGACATTTATTTCGTTTCATCGGCTCCAGTGAGCTCAGCCTCCAACTGCAGTTCGAGAGACACCAGTTCCCAGAGTTCCCCACAGACGCCCACCGGCTATGAGATGCCCATGTTCCCCTCGCCGCTCGGCGATGGTAAGACCCACACAGGATGTTTGACTTTGGAGTCTCTCTTAGCTTCAAGCGCTGCAACATTTGTGTACGTTAGTTCAGGTTGATAACCTGCAGTTTTCTGTGGCAGTAAGTTTTTCTTTAATCACTTCTGCCATCATCTTTTTTTTTTATGAGAAACATTATAATGTCCTCATTGCTGGGTATTTAGAGTAGCAGTAGACAAATAGGTATCCTGTCAACGGCCCTTTAACCCCTAATTTTACTTACAAATGTGGTTACTTTTATTTATTACCGACCTTCTTTCTTACAATTATTTCAGAGAAAAAGTCATTCATTCAACAAATTTTATGCTTAAAAAAATGACTTTTGCGGCACTTAAATATGAGGTAGAAAGACTTAGGTGCCTTTGTTTAATTATTTTTGTTACCAAGCCAAAACCGGTACAAAAATGTTGCCTGTTGGTGTGTTCAAGGACCTACTCATAATCTGAAACTTTGCTTTAGATTAAATTTGCTAATCTATGTTGAATGGCAGGGATGGGATGTCAAAAACGTATTTTACATTGTGAACCAAATACATCCCACTTTGATCTTAAGTGGGCTGGACAGAAACCCTTTCTGTTAGTGTAAAGAACTTTAACTACACATTTAATCCCTGGAATAGTTTAATATAAGAAAAAGGAGTGCAGTTTCAACAACACATCTCAGTTTTTCTATATGATATAGAAATGTTGCTGTTGTAAATAAAAGAAATCTGGAAAACCTTTGGCTTAAAGTGTAAGAAATGTGTAAAATGGCCTAAAACATTCTGGTTCTGTCATTGCCCTTTATTTGTAAACCCACTGGGGAAAAAACAAAAAGAGAATTTCCTGTCGGTTAATTATTTATATATTCATATATTTTCTTTGGTGTATTATGCCCATGGGGGAGGTCTTTATCACGCTCCAAAACCTGTGGAAATATAGTTAAAACTCCAAAATGTATGCCTTTTTATTCCTTCACATTGTTAAAATTGCCCAGTGGGTCAGATTGGAGTCTGTGTCTAATTCCGGCCCTCAGGCCTTATGTTTGATACCTCTGTTGTAGGAAACAGACAGATAAGCACAGCGAGTATTGCAGAATATGCCTTCTTTTATTTCATTTAAACACTGTCTTTAAAAAAAAAAGACCAACACTTACAAAGTGTTATTCTGCCTTGTAACCCTCTGTGACTCCTCTTTGTCATTTTTATTGTTTATTTTTCCAAGATTTCTTTTTTAAGGTTGACTGCGTATAAAAATGCTGTAATTACTGAAGAGGTAATGCAATATTTTGTTAGATCTCTTGAACTGAAACTGAAGATCTGCACTTCAGTCACATCTTGATTGTCCATCATGGTGATGTATGGAGGGAAAATTACAAAACTGTCTAAATACTGACAGATCTGGCTGTAAATCATATTTATTCTACTAAAGTTTCACTCCTTATTTTCCCACTGGTTGTCCACCACACTCTCCAGTGTTTCTGTCTCAGACCTGACAGTTTGAGAATCCCTTTTTTGTTTTAAGGTTGTCACCAGGCAGTGAACTCTTGAATTTTGGAGGATCCTTGAACACACCCTTTTTCAAAACAGGCATCCACATGGCCTCCCGTTCATTGACATACTGCCAAGAGATCAAGGGGACAAACTTTTTACTGAGATACGACGTTCCTTACTTTCAAGCATCATATGATTTTATACCCATATGTAGTATGAGGTGTATGGAAAAAAGCTTGTACCTTAGCTAAATGTGATTTGTAGTTGAAGGACAAGAACATTTAAAAGCATCATTGTGATCTTTTCGATTGCGAATTATAGTTACAATATAATTACAATATAGCACGCACACTCTCCCAGACATCTTTCATTGTATGTTTGACCATTTAATACACACACCCCCACCAGCACCACCGCCTCCCCATCCTGCTGTTCCTGATCTCCTCCAGATTAATACAGCTTGTACAAGATTGTCATTCACTGTCTGTCAGCTGACTGATGGACAGTGCAGTCTAGCTGTTAAAGACACACAAAGGTTTCCATGTAAGTCTGAACTGCAGAAAAGAGTGAGACTTAGGAAAAATAAAAAGCTTGTGTTCCTGCTGCTGCTGCACCATCCAGGCAGTCTTTTCCTGATGGAAGTGGGTATTTACAGGTTCCATTAAAGCTAACGGGGAGGAAGGTCTGGCTGTTGCTGCTGCAATTAGTCAAGTGCAGGATTTCTGCTTATGTATGTCATTTTTATTAAAGGAATTCTCTTTTTTTTGCAAATAATTCTGCATTACTGGAAGATGTAGGCATAATAGAGAACCTACTATGTATGTGTGTGCGTGTGCTCCTAAATGTATGTTACTGTGTGTGTGTTCAGTTTGTGTAACCCTCTTCTTCATCCCTGGTTCAGATTCTATACGGATCCCCTATGGTACCAAGCTTTCCCTGTACATGTCTAAGGATGCTGAAGGTACTTTAGGATTCTCCCACAACTTGTCCTCTGTCCATAAAAACACTCATAACGCTGCCCTACTAACATGCACGTGCACCCAGAGTGTATCACCCCTGTCTGCTCCGAAGCAGCATGTTGACTTGAACGTTGGTTGAATGTTAAGTGAACATTATGTCTTCCCCACCCCCACTCACCCCCCTTTCTGTCTGCCGACTAATTAAAGCATTAGCGCGAGGGGAGAATGAGAAGGGAGAAAGGAAGGTGCTAGAGCTCAAAGTACAAAAGTGAGGCAGAGGTGATGAAGATAGAGAGTTATGAAATTACCAGGAAGGGGGGGAGGAAGAATAGGTATGCAGGCAGTGTGAGCGGAAAGGGAGGGGTTATGGAGGCTTTGGGGGGTGCAAAAAAGGAGCAAGAAAAGGGAAAGAGGGAAGGAGAAGACACGTCTGCTGCAGCATGATTTACAGATTGCACTGTCGCCATGGAGACTTTTGTCAGCCCTCTTTTTCGATCCAAAGTAGTCCAAACAGCGGTGCTACAGTCTGATGGTGGGTGGGTGGTCGGGCGGGGTGTTTGGAGAGTGGAGGGGGGTGGGGGGGTGGAGAAAGGTGGAAGGGTGCTGACAAAAATCCCATCCTCTTAACTGCCTGTGCGCCTGCCGTATCTGCTCCTTGGGAAGGTTTTCATCTGACGTAATCACATCAGTGATGCGAGCAAGATGTCACTGATGTGGCTGCTAGCCACCATCCACCTCCACTGGCTTAAAGACGCCACGTTGTTCTGATGAATTTGACTCTGTTTAGTACTAAAAACATCCCTGACAACTGTTTATTTGATTTTTGATTTTTTTTTGCCAGTGTGCAGGAGTGTGACACTTCCCCTGGTCCAGAAACGCATGTGGAATATATTGATCTCTGCAACTATATATTCCAAATACTTGCATGCCTTGCCGCATCTTTGGCTATTTCCTTTTGCCGTCGGACGACACAGCGGCAAGTGAGAGCTGATCTGTAACAGCACTAACACAGTGTACCTGTCAAGCATCAGCAGTGACCCTTTGTTTTTCACAGTGGCTCTTTAACTCTCCTCTCACCCGCTGACATTTCAGATGAGACAGACCCTTCCTTTTTTTTTGCAGCATAGTCTCTGCCTCGATTCACTCTCATTCACTATCACCAGCCTGCCTCATCGGAGCAGTGTGCAGTTTCTGAACTCCCACACTGCTCCCAAGTGGAATGGCTGGGCACTGCCAGTGGGCACACTGCAGCTTTGCGGGCAGATTGTGTCACTTGAAAACTTCCAAACATCCATTCAATGCATCTCGAGCAGACTTTGTTGTCTCTGTTGAATAATAGATGGCCTGCTATAAATGTCTACTGAACAGTTACATTAGCTCGCTGTTGTAAGGAAGATTAATTTTAAGACTGCGTGCTGTTTCAATAAATAGCGCTATAAATCACTTTAAAGTGGCTTCATTTAAATGTGGATGTTTGATTCTGTTGTATCAGCATTCATAGAGTCCTAATTATGTACAGAATTAATATTACAGCTGACTGTTTTGCAACGCATGCCACATGTGATGTCATAGATGTTTTACTGCGCTACGAAAATACAAAAGTTAAAGACTTGATCAAGCTGTGTCACCTTTGCTTTTTCAGGTTTTGTAAGCTTTTGCTTTTGCTGTCATTATCTGTTTTTTACTGGTCCTTACTGGTGCATTCAAAGACTTTTATTTCCAGTGAAATAAAATTATTTCTTATTATACCTTTACAAAATCGACAACATGTTGGAGTTGGAGTGGCTGGCACACAGAATGCAAGAGCAATGTTAATAAGTTGAATCTTTGAGAGTCCCTGAATGCACCGGAAAGGCGGAAATATGCCTCTAGAGATTATATACAAGATAGATGCCAATATTTACATGTCTGACGCCAGTCCCTGGTTATTTCAAGTGTGTTTAGTGTAAAGATTACAAATGTGCATCTCGTGTAATGCCGTTCGCTGCATTAGAGTCTCAGAGGTAAGAGTATGTTTCATAATACCCAACAGCAGAATTTCAAAAAAGCCTAATCTTTGAGTCAGGTGAGAGTTTTGGAGTATCCTAAAGCTGCACTGAAAATGCTTGCAGATGATATGTATGTGAGTGTGATGTATTGTAAATTTAGTTCAAGTTAATATATAGTGCATATATTAGTGATCCTAATATATATAGCCTGTGCAAAAGGCTTGAGCCAGCCCCTCATTTCTTTATATTTTACTAGGAAATGGGAAATGTTTGAAGAAATCTATGCATACCATGATGAAATATGCCAAGGTTTGAGTCAAGTGGAACTAAAGAAAGACAATCTGGCCCTGAGAAGCAAACCACAAAGAAATGTGGGATGCTTCAAAATCTTTGCACAGTACTGTATGAGAGGTAGAAATTTGGAAACCACTAATGTAGTCACATGTTAATGTTTTACCACCTGGGTTTTTGTACAGATTTTCAAAAAAAAAATCAAGAGCACAGGCAGCTCTTTCCCTCTGTTTATCATCTTTACGTTAAGCTAAGCAGTAGCTTCCCAGTGGTAACTTATGCAGCCAAATAGTCAAAAATAAAGTATTTAATTTTCATTGCACTGCCATACAAAAGTGTTGAAATATTGATAAAAATAAAAGGTTCAATTGCTAGTTGTAAAATCTGAAAATATATGGTATGTTTTTGAATTTCTAAAGAACTAAAGCCAAGCCTTCTTTCTTTTTTTGTTTTCATTTTGTGTGCTCTCATGTCATCTACCACAATTGTTCTTCCTCACTGCTACCTCTTCTTCTGGCTTCCTCCTAGGTGAAGCGACATGCAAGCACATTTTTAAGATCCCTCTGTGTAACTTGGTGGGCCGCAGCATCGAAAGACCGCTGAAGTCCCCTCTGGTCAACAAAGTGCTGACGACACCAGCCCCCACCATGGTGGCCCCAGCTCCCCTCATCTCTGCAACACACTCGCTTTCCTTATCCCGCATGGAGATCAAAGAAATAGCCAGTCGCACACGGAAGGAGCTGCTGGGTAAACGGAAAAATTATTTTGCACCATATAGGAAATTTAAGTTGTTTTTATGGAACTAGTGCCCACTGGTGCAGTTTTGGATTATCCCTCACATACCTGCTCCTTCATGGTACGGCTACATTTGAGCATACTTGCAACAGCAAAGCTACATGACGTGATCACAGTCAGTCAAAAACACACACAGAGATTCCTTTATTTTTAGTTAGATCTAGTTGTCGTCTCTGTGTTTCATTCTAAAATCTTCCTCAAAAAAGCTAATTCCACAAACACATTTTGGTTTGCAAGAACAGCTATATAGAATCTCAACAGGCTCCTATTAAGAATCTTTTATCTGTTTATTTATTCATTTCTGGTTGTGTTGTTTCATTTATTACATTATATGTGGTATCTTCGATGTCTAAGGCAGGACAGGCAGCCATTGCCCAACTCCCTGTGAGTGGTTCATGTTCATTGATCAGTAGCTGTTGATCAGTGATCAAGAAAGTGACCTCACAGCCTCCCAGTGAAAAGGCTACGTCCAGATAAACAGAATCAACTTTCTGGGAGACATCACTGTGCTAATTCTAAAATCTTTGAAGTACTCTCCAGTATTGGTCTCAGATGCTATTGCAGTTTAGTGGCTCAGTCACAATAGAGCAAAGATATGATATAAACCTCCTTGCAACTACTAAAAATTGGTGGTTGCCCAGTGAGTCCATTGAATATTTTGAAATTTAGCAGCCGATTACAAGTAGTTGCACTGACCAACTGGTAACCCAGAGGTTAAGAATGCAAAACCCACAACCTGTAGTTGACCACACAGTGATTGCACAGGTTCCCTGGAGACAGATTGGCAACAGGTTGTAATCAGTGTGAGTCAGTCTGGACACATCATCTACGTGTGTGTTTTTAATAGCAGACCTGCCTCAACTGGTTTCCAGCTGGTTGTATTCTGGTTATATTCCTATATAAAAGCACCTGTGTCATTTTGCAGTTAAATTGCTGGATTCTGAATGTAAATAGTTAATGTGAATTTCTGTTAAATGTTACATTTCTCTGTATGTAGTTGGCGACACATTTGTGATTTTCAACGATTTACAGTTAATCGTATCATACAGTTTCCAAGCTGACCTTATTCAGTCACAAACTGATAGCAGACTGACTTCGACTTATTGCTGTTTTCTGACTATCTTGATGCACCAAAGTTGCTTTCAAGACGTGAACTGTGGTTAAAAGCAGCACTCAAAACCACAGAGATCACACAGTTACATTCATTTTGGTTGTGCAGCATCTCTAACTACTGTTTTCGCCAGCGAGACTGTAGCATTAGAGACTATATCTGAGATATGAAGTCACCACATGGCTTTACACATTTGGCTTTGTAGGAGAAGATCCCAAACAATGTGTACCTTCCAATTCTGAAGTAGACCTGTTTTGGGTGTTTTTTTTAACATAGGCAAAAAGCAAAAGTTTGATATTTGGAAAAATGTGCTTATTGGCCTTCCTGTTGTGTGAGGAGATTCATCCCACTGTCATGTGGTACTTTTACACTAAATGTAAACTTACAGCAACATTAGCTTAACATATGGAGAAACATTTACTCTTTTGTCTAAAGAAGCCATTTCTATCCGTCCCCACCTTCAAATACTTTCAAATTTCATATTCATATACTTTGGATTTATTAAACTGAAAAGTTTAAAAAATTAAATGAAATCCAAGAAAATTACTACTTTTGGTTTGAAATCATCTAGCTCATAATTATAAATGGGATATCGACCATCCTGCTCTCAGAAGGAAGGCAAAAAAAAGCATATTTCTGAGTTTTCCAATGCATTTTCCATTGTCTCCTACCAACAAAGGCTTGACAGAGGAACCAAGTGGGAAATCAGACAGCGGATCAGTGAAACAGAGAAAGATGAGCAAAAAGAACACAGAGGACGAGCCCAAAGTACGAGCGCTGACGTCCACAAACAGCGACAGGTGATAAATCTGAACAGCAGCTGCACGTTTGATGTTTGCTTAATGCTAGCTTGAGCTTGAGACATGAGTCTTTCTGTGCACAACAGGCTAGCCTCACAGTCCAGCGAAGTGGATCAGGATGTCCAGCTGCACTGTTCATCCAGTTCGGAGGCGGAGCCAGAGAAGGCGGTGCTGCAGCCAGAGAGCCCGCCCCTTACCAGTGCGTTCTCCCTCTCCACATCCTTCGAAGAAGATGTCTTGGACCTAAAGTGAAGACAATCCCATCGTGCACTTCTCTGCCCGCCCACTTCTGTACTGTCACCTTTACTCTGTTGTTTTGGTTGGTCTTCTTTTCTTTTTTGTTTTTTGTTTTTTTCTGTTGTTGAGCTCTGATACCTTGGCGCTTTTTCCTACATACCCTGGGATTCTGAGCCCCCGTTCAGCGGACGAGATGGGTGCAGTGGAGGTTTGAAGTCATGTTTGTGTGCGTGTGTGACTTTTTTCATGAGCAGTGCCCCCCCTCAGCCGCCGTGTGTCAGCTGTTTGTGTCGCCCCGCAGCAGATAACCCAAAGAGGTTGCGTAAGATGCCGTGGTGCATTCAGACTTCTGCAAGAGCTTTGAGATGCCGGTTTGATCCTAAACCACAAACTGAATGTAAATCTGTGCACCAAGGCATGAGAAAACTCTCTGCATTCTCAACTCCCTCTGACGTTGCAAGAGCTTATGTGTTGTATATTATGTGATTATTTCCGATCCACTTTCAAGTATTGTATGATATGCATATGTGTACATCTGTTTATACACAAAAGTGCACACATGCAGGCGTATATGCCTGTCTGGCTTGTGATGCATATTTATAGATATATTATAAAAATCAATTTTATTCCCATATTTAGTAAAAGTATGATTTTTGATTTTATGCTCTGCACATTTTCGCCCATATTGTTCCCCTTATCTGTCGTAAACAGGTTAGACAGACCTGGAAGAAGTCTCCCACAAGTGCCGTCTGCCACTGTCCTCCATTCAAGTAGACGTCCAACAGCCACCAGATTTTGGTGTCTGTCAGTAGCAGCCATGATTGTAGTCCATGTTCGATTACAGTGGTAACCAACGACTGCAATCAGCTCGGGTGATTTCACTTGCTGGCGGCAAAATCTCAAAGGCACATGCACAAATCATTTTATCCCATAACAAAGACCTGACCTTAAATTTGCATGACTTGCAAGTGTTGTGTTTTTTGCAGCAAAGAAATCACTTCTTTGGAAACAGTGCGATCTGTAACATGATACCAAATTCCGAACAAAGTAAAGAAACAACAAACTGAGACAAGAAAAAAAAAGTACAGGAGTATCTATAACAAGACGGTGGCTAGATGGATAGAGGAGGGATGATAAAAACAAAACCAAAAGTGTGAATTACTTTTACTTTGTCTTTTTCTGTGTGTGGAATGAAAAAGTCTTTTATTTTGTAGAGTAAAATGTGCACTTAGTTAAAAGATAGTTTTATCTTTAGGAAAAATTAGACTTTTACTGAACTAAAATTAAAGCCTAAATGAAACTAAGAATTTTAACAGTGCAAAACAAAACATCTCATTAAAAAATACTAAATGTATTTATACAATTAGTATATTTGGAAAGCATAACCATGCTAGCGCTGTTTAAATCACTGAGTCTAATTTGGAACTTCAAGGCCCAGAAGCCCTGCTGATTTTCACCTCGAGGTCCAGAAATACACTGATTTACAGCTGGGGTTATCGGTTAGGGGATAACTCACTGCAGCACACGGTTAAATTCACAGTTTAGATATCCTTTCCTTACTGAGTGTAGAGGTTTATGATCAGATTGTTAATTGGCTGCCCATCTGGAAAATCTTTTGTTATTGTCATACAGATAAAAATCTAGTCCATAAATTTGGAGGGCTCAAAAGAGACTGATAAGTCTCTAATATTACATATGCTCTAAAAACAATCCTTCATTTCATTAAACCCTCTCGGCCTTTTAAATGTCTCCTCATTTTATACTCCACACATTCAGATTACAGAGTAAAGCAATCCATTAAAAATAAAACCACTAATGCTCAGTTACTGTAGAGTTGACAACAGGGAAACATCAGTATCTACAATGGCTCTTATTATTACATCAGTCTGGGATGCCAAACAGCTAAGGATGCACCACATCAGCTAAAGGGTGACATTCCACATGATTAAACCCAGCTTGAGCACCTTTGGGCGTTAGAGCAATCATAAAAATAATTCTGAGAGCAGAAACTTGGCAAGTGAGAGTGCATGGTTTTAAAAAAGGTCAAACATGGTCAAACAAACTTTGTGTAATTACTGTCACAGCCAGAGGAGGGAGACAAAACTTAACCACCACAGGTTCAACATGGGAAACCTCCACATCTGTACCATCCACCCCACTTGTGATGTAAATGCACCTCCAACACTAATAACCTTTATCAGGATTACTTTATCTAGAAAAAGTTTCATACAGAATCTCACAATCCGTTCTAACACAAAGGGTCAACTACACTTCTCATTTAATTTTAGTAAGAATCCACTTTATAACACCTAATTACAGCACTGAAAAGGTTAAATGGTGCTTTGTGTCAATGTAAAAGCTAATCAAAGTGACAGTAATACAAAGGGAAATGTTTGGCAAAGGTGACTAGCCTGATGTAGGTGTTAGTGCATCTCTGTATGCTTGTTTCACATCATAGCAGCCTTCAGATTGAGCATGAGCCTCTTCTTTTCTCATTTCTTCACACCTTTGCTCTGTTCTCCTGCCTGCCTCTGCGTGAATCCCTCTAACAGCAAAACGTAACTCAGAAAAAGGGGTAGAGGAAGAAGAAGAAAGAGGAGGAAGAGGAGGAGGAACCGGGATGGATTTTTACTCTTCTTTAGTGTCTAAATGAGGGTGGATGACTCGGGGAATGCTGCTTCTCCCGCTTTGCGTTGTTACGATTCCTTCTGTATTTTTGTCTTTAGTTTCTACCTCCCCTTGGCATTTTTACTGTTTTGTTTGTTTTGGTTGGTATTTTAGTTTGTTTTGGGGGGTTTTGTATTTGAATCTATATTTACTGTTTAGACTGTTGCTGAACCTCTCTGTGATATCAAAATGACAGAAAATTGACAAAAAAAACACCAAGTGTCTTAAAATATTGTATCGCCATCGTTTTTAATGCCAAGTAATACTTGTAAATGTTTGTGTATCAAATGTGGCCTCAAAGGAAACTGAACTATATTATTATTAATATTAATATTATTTGAGCAGTTATTTTAAACAAGTGCTGTAGACCACTGCTGTGAAAGTAGTTGATTTTGTTCATTGATATGTAATAAATATTTATGAAATTTCTGTTGGGTGGTTTCTTTGGCTTACACACACACACACACACACACACATAGATATAGATATATGCAGGCTGAAAGCAATGTAAGTAATGTTAAGGTTAAATGCCAACATACATTTCTGCTTTAACTCTCTTTTCTGTAGCTGACTGAGTCATAGGTCTGGGGTTGTTTAGTCTTGAGTTGTTTAAATGGAGCATTTCTTTCTGTTTGGATTTTTAACCCAGCAATAATCTGATTATGAGGTTCAATGTAAATGTTTACCTTTGTAGTACATTGCGAAGTACACACAACTACCAAAGCCCAGCAGAACACCGATACTAGCATCACACCACCTTTTACTCACTTGCCCTTTTCAACGCCCATCACAACGTGGCTGCTGAAGTTGAAATTGAGCATTAGAATGGGAATGACATGACTCCTGGTGCTGGACTGTTCTCAGTATTTCAGAAACTGCTGATCTGGTGGGATTTTTCTGCACAACCAGTTCTAGGGTTTACAGAGAATTGTCGGGAAAAGAGAAAATATCCAGTAAGCAGCAGTTTTCTGTGCGATTACGGCTGATGTTAGAGGTCAGAGGAGAATGGCCAGACAGCATGGAGATGATAGGAAGGCAACAGTAAGTCATACCAAGGTATGCAGAAGAGAATTTCTAAATGCACACAATGTTAGCCCTTGAAGATGGGCTACAGCATCAGAAGACCAGACTGAGTGCCACATCTGTCAGCAAAGAACAAGAAACCAAGGCCACAGTTCACACAGGCTTAGCAAAACTGGATAATGGGAGAATAGAAAAACATTCCCTGGTCTAATAAGTCTCACATTTCTGCTGCATCATTCATATGATAAGGTCAGAATTTGATCTAAACAGCATGTAAGCTGGATTCTGATTTCTATCAACAGTTCAAGCTGCTGCAGATACTGTAATGGTTTGGTGAATATTTTCTTGGCACACTAACAACTGAGCCTTGTTTAACCTCCTAAGACCCAAACTCTTTCATGGCATGCATTTTAAATTTTTCTTTGCTATTTGGGTTGATTGGGACCTGAGGAATGTAAAAACAAAAAATTACCAGATTTTTATTTATTTATTTACCTAATTTTTGTTTCTGATACAAATGAGATCCACGTATGAGGACATTGGTTTTAAATTCTGATAGAACGGTGGCAGTATAATGTCCTCACAAGTGAATATCAGGCCCTTGTAGAGAAAAATTAAGTATTTTCGTCTAGACACCAGGTCCTAGGAGGTCAAACACCGACCCTTTATAACCACAGGGTACCCATCTTCTGATGGCTGATTCCAACAGGAGAGCATGCCATGTCATAAAGGGGAGATTCATATCATGGAGTCACATCTGACAAATCTGCAGCAGCTGTGTGATACCGTCATACCCACTCAGACCAAAATCTCTGCATTTTTTGGTTATGACTACAGTGAATCTGAGAGAAAATCTCATAAAACACTAGCAGGAAAACGCTATGAAAGAACACAAAACACAGCGGAAGTGTTTCCGGGGGGACATTAATGTGACAGAACAGCTGCAGCAGTGACAGAAACCAAAACATGCGAAGGACTGAGCAGAGACATGATTAAAAGAAGCGTGCAATTCATCTGTGACTCAGAAAAAGGTGAAACATAATTGTATTTTAATCACATAGTTCATATAATACTGCAGATAGATGTTTGCTATTAGCCGTTTACTGTTAGCTTGCCCATCCCGCAGCTGGTCCGTCACATTATTGTCTCCTCAAAATCCCCATTTTTTGTGAGCAATGTTTTTTCTCCTTCCGTTGTGTTTTATTTAACTTCCGTTGTGTTTTGTGTGCTTTAACACTATGTTTGCATGTACTGGTGTTTTTTGAAGTTACTATGCATTGGGCCCTTTCAGGCCCACATGTTGCCTATATTGACATTAATATGTAAAGTTAAATAAATCAGTTTAACTGAAATAAGACACAGAACAGTGGAACATCATAGTTATACAAGTTTAGATTCTGTGGTGTTAGAAAAGTGTTAGATAATTATTTAGCTGGTGTGAACTATTATTTTAATAACTCTAATAGGTGTCTATGTACTGTTACTAGTCAAAGTCAAAAATTTATAATAATAATAATAATAATAATAATGATTGCATTTATATAGCGCTTTTCGGGACCCTCAAAGCGCTTTACAATTCCACTATTCATTCACTCTCACATTCACACACTGGTGGAGGCCCTGGGGCAGACTGACAGAAGCGAGGCTGCCATATCACGCCATCAGCCCCTCTGGCCATCACCAGTAGGCGGCAGGTGAAGTGTCTTGCCCAAGGACACAACGATCGAGACTGTCGTTGGGTCCGGCAACCTTGGAACCAGCAACCTTCCGGTTACAAGACAAACTGCCAACTCTTTGAGCCACGATCGCCATTTGGTTGAAGAGTGAAAGCTGAAAAGATCTGGCTGAGAAGTGCTCTGTGTGTCCACAAGGTGGGGGTAAATATTTATGTAGCTTTACTAAAATGACCAGTTTGTTTTTTAATCTCACACAGGAGAGCCTGCACTTCTAAAACAAAAGAAAGTTTGGTCCAAAGTAAACTGATCTCCCTTAACAGCGAACAGCAGCAAAAACAGAGCTTTTGTCAGAGTTTTCCTCCAATCCAGAAGTTTAAAAAAAAAAAAAAAAAAACAGCATGCATGGGAAACGAAAAATATTTTACTTCACACTGATCTTATTCAGAATCAGAATACCTTATTGATCACTAGGGGAAATTATGTATTACAGTGAGAAGTGTAGGTAGGAGGTCAGGAACCACATTTCCTTTTACCCTCGAGGGCTGGGGGGGGGGCACGTTGAGACTATGACAACACTGACGCATGCAAGGATACAGACACACCCCTGTCACTGGCATGCCAGCTTTATGTTTCAACCAGATTACACATATTGTTAATGCTCTGTTATTAAAAGCCAAGGATTTTCCCCGTCCTCCCACCTTGTCAGTCATTTTGTTTAAATCACAAAAACACCTGAGCTCCTGTAAGTTCGAGCTTAGTCATGATCACTGGGTTGGAGGAAAAAAATATATATATATATATATATCACTGGAAACGAAATTACATCATCCGAGAATTGGGCAAAAAGTTTCACGCCAGAGTGAGAAAAGCCAAATCAAGCGTAATCACTGATGGAAAAACATTTTATGTTGGCGCACAAACTTTCATTTTCCTCAGTGTGGAAGCATGACTGGGCACCTTCTGTAAATATTTCTATATGGCCTTCCAGCACCTCCCTCCTGGCCTCAGGGTGAAAATAAAAAGAAAGGGAAAATGAGCACAGCATAGCAGAAGGTCTTACATAACAATCAAAGGAATGCTGGAACTCTGCCGGTGCCTTTTGGATCATCTCACTCTCGCACATAAAGTGGGGCCCCCTATCCCCAGAACATACCAATTCTGCAGCACAAGGCTATCTAAAAGAACAACTCATTTAGCACAAAGTGAAGGTAGAGGCTGGGTGTGCTTAGATGTGCATAGTTTTTATTGTCTACAAGTTTTCCTTTCAAAAACATTAAATTGAATAAATTACAAAACTCACCAAGTGCCTTCACAGATACATTTACACACAATTATACGCTAGAAAATTCCTCAGAAGGTTGTTGCAAGGCGTGTACTCTGAACCCGTTTCTCACACACACACACACACACACACACACAGAGCATCAAGTGTATTTAAACTTTCAGCATATCAATCATCATACCAGGATCCATCATGCTGTTGTTGAACAGACAGAAGAAAAAAAAATACTGATAATCAATCTCAAAACCCAGCACTGGTGTTATCAGAGACCTTGTATTGCACTTCCACTTGTCTTTACAGGAAGTGCAACAGGAATCCTTCTCCCACTACTTTCTGACACAGGTCACACATAATGAGCCGTCTTGAGTCTCAGATCACAGCTGTTAGTTCAGTCCCTTGTTCCTGGATTTATTTTGTTTTTGATTTATTAGTGTTTTTAGGCATATGATTTGACTGCCATCAGGATCTGTACGGCCATGGACACACAGGGAATCTGAGCTAAGGTGTAGGCCACGGACCGGGTCGGTGCTTGCAGGGCCAGCAGGTAGGCAACGCTGTGCAGCACACGGCAGATGAAGAAGACGAGGAAGTGAAGCCGTGCCACCCACAGTGAAGGTCCGGTCATGGAGTAGATGGCGCCCAAGAAGAGAAAAGGGAGGATGTTCTCCATGTCATTAATATGAGCTCTGAAAAGAAAGACAGAAGTCAGCACACGGAGGCTGACACACAACTGTTTTCCACAGTTGTGTGACTCAGCTACCTATGATGCAGTAAAGTGACTACATCGCATGAGTGACTATGATACGGGGTAATGATTTCCTGTGATATTCCTGGAAGATTTATATTCAGGGTGACTAAAATAATATGCATTTAACCCACACTAGCACTATCTCAAGCCAAAGAAAGGGCTCTGCAACCTTCTCTAATCACCTCTTTCCTGTTTCCCCTCCACCCACTTGAAGCAGCTTTTTAAACAATATTGTTCTAGGACACTCGCCATCATAATCCCCTTTTGCCCAGAAAACAAACAAAAAAGGGCACATAAAAGACATGATTAAGGTTGGACATGGAATACGTCGTGCTGCAGCCATTTTTATTAGTTATTAATGGAAATTTTAAATGTGTTTCCCCCTGGTGCAGAGTTGATTCCCACCACAAGCTCTCAGGAGAAAAAAAAGAAAAAGAAAAAAAAAACATTTCAGGACAGACAGAGGGGAAAGTTTACTAGTAAGAAAAACATCTGCTCTCCCCTGTCTCAGATCATATTCTGACAAGTTTAAACAAATCTGTCGCACACAGTGCTACAAGCTACTGAAACATCAGTGGAGGAGTAGCCCACAAGAAAAGAGAACAAATCCGCTGGAAATAAATCTACACTTTATCGGGTTTGCGACAGATATCTGCGCGGGAGAAAACTTGCGGCACGTCATTCATGTTCTGTAGAAAAATTTTCATTTTATGATGCAAGGGTATTTTACTCGAGTACTTCAATGCTGTGCGCATTTGAAATCTACCTGAGTGAACCAGTTTTCATGCAGTGTACTGAATTCCTTTTTAAATCAAAAAGTAAAAGCTATGCAATGGGAATGCATAGTATAACTAATACTTGCCATAAGCAGCAAATACAAGGGAGTTTATTTGTTGTTGTTGTTGTTTGGATTTAAAATCCAAAAAGTTTTTGGATTTTAAATCCAATCCAAAACTTTCTCTTTTTTTTCCCCTTATCTTTTTTTTTTTTTTTTTTTTTAAAATCATCCTCCTGCGACCCTCCATCCCCCTAAACACAAGCAGTCTAGTCTTACAAAAAATACCCCGTCTGCACGCTCACCTCCGGCATCTTTCCACATATGGATCTTCTCTGTGATACTGTAAACCTCCGTGTCTCAGCGCGTCCTCGGGGTTGGCAAAAGCCTTTCAGGGAAGAAGCGAAAAAACAAACAAAAAAAAAAAAAAAAAAAAAAAGCTTTCCACCAGAGAACAAACAGGAAGAAGAGAAACTTACACAGCATTTAACTTCAAGCTGCATATACAGGAGCTCACTCACCTTTTTACGCAGTCTTATTTGTCCCGTTATGACCGCTATTACGTACATCTTTAACACCAGCAGCACGCCGTAGAAAACAAAGCAGGAGAAAACAGAGTTTCTTAACATGACTGCTGTAATCCACGCAGAGTTGCAGCGAGAGCAGGGGAGGAAAAAGCACTTAAAGGAGGACTCTGAGATTGCAGCGTGCTGCTGAAATAAAAGGGAGAGTGAGAATGAGGGCAGGCCGTTTTGTAGCACTGCCTCCACCCACTCACGGTAATGATGAAAGCACTCTCATTCATGCACAACTTCTGTGAATTCCAGAATTGCTTCCTGGAGGCTACACTTAACATGTTCAGATGGTGGAGGTACGTTTTGTTCTTCTGCTTGGAAACAGGTAGCACATTTAATCATTCAAATTGAGCCTGATAGTTTTCTCCTTCCGTTATCTTGGAGGATAAATACCAAAATTTGACATGTTCACGTATGATTTTTACCTTTTTCCCCCAGAATTTAGAGCAGGTTTGCAACTATTTAGAGGGTCAGGTTTGATCCCCAGCTCCTTGCAGTCTGTATGTTGAAGTGTCCTTGGGCAAGACACCCAACCCTAAGTCCCTCCTGATGTATGTGCATGAATGTGTCAGAGTCTAAAAACTGTGTTTGTGATAGCAGGTTGCAGTGTGATGATGGAAAAAAAAAATCCAACTTATTCATTCTCACAGAAGATTAGACGTGTGGCCCAACTTGGGGTATGAGTACGAGTTAGCCAATATAACGAGAAGCCTCGCAGCACTGTGGTTCAGTTCATCTTCATTTTATTCATATAACACCAAACCACAGCAAAAGTTGCCTTGTAGGATAAAGACCCTATAATAATGAGAGAAAACCCCAACAATCACATGACCCACAATATGAGCAAGCACTTGGTGACAGTGGGAAGGAAAAAACCTTTTTAACAGGAAGAAACCTCCAGCAGAACGAGGCTCAGGGAGGGGCGGCTATCTGTTGCAACTGGTTGGAGTTGATAGGAGTAGAGACTGTGGTGCAAACGTTGCTTTGCAGCAAGAAGGTTTTAATCCTGAACTTGTTCAAAGACCTGCTTTTCAGGTTAAATTGTGTTTCTATAGCAGCTGTGGAGGTAAATATGCCGGCCGTCCACGGTATATCTGATATCTCACCCAGTGTGTGGGATAGGCTGCCATGAACTCGGTGCGGGCATGAGGCAGCTGAATCAAGGGTAAAGGAAATTTTACGTGTCAAATACATGAATGTTTTTGAAACAGTAACTCTATTGCCATTGGTGAATGTCTGAACCTAGCTGTATACGTCACAGTGCTGTCAAAGGCTTAAAATGGAATTCCACAAAACTGTGCAACTAGAATTACCGTAACATCATTAGACGGAACACTGACGAAGTTTTTCGATTAAGAAATTTGACCCACTTTTAGTCAGAGTTAATGCTCTGTAATTTATCCAGTGGATGAAATTCTGCAGCTGTTTCTTAGATGAAAACAATGGTCAGATTTTGAAATTTCCTGTGGCTATTTTCTTTTTAAACATTGGCTGGACATACCGTTTTTGCCACTTGTATTAACTTTTGAAAGATTGTTTCAGATATCTGCTGCACTTGATTCTAATTTGCATGATTCATGTGTCGCCTCACTCTTTTCTACCCGCCCTTAAACTTTGAAAAATTACTTGTTACTTACGTTGAGACAGTTTGTCCTTGTGGTCTGAGAGCTTTGCAGGGAGAATGGGAGGATTTGATTGGTGCACCGGCTTGATTTCCCTCAGGTGTGGATAACGACTGGGTGGATCTCTGCTGAAGCGTGTCACGTTTCCTCCTTTTATGTTCACTGCCAAAACAACATGTACTGAATTAATCAAAAGTTGTTATTAGTCAGCAAAATGTTGAGTTTTAGATTACTTGATCCTCTTATATTGTATTATTAGTTTTCTTGAATAGAAGCCGGTATCTGAAGAAGAATAAACCCTAAACTAATGTGTAAACACAAGTGATGAAATAATATTTTTTTTAGTTGCAGTGTTCCCATAACAACCATGCTTTAAGCTAAATAAGTAGGTTAATGTAGACAGTCTTACCTCCTAATCACTCTTTTGTTGTTGCTGTTTTTCATTTTCTGCTAGATCCTAGCACCCACAAAAAAAAACATGCCCACTACTGATCACTGTTGTATTTACACAGCCTGCCCTCCCAGACCCACGCACTTTAAAATGCTCTGCATACTGAAACACTAAGAAACAACGCCTAACAACAAACAGAACTGAGTTTTTCTAACAAAAGCAGTGTGGAGTCAGAAAGAGGCAGAGGTTTTTTGTTGTTGTTTTATTTTAGTGTAATGAGTGAATAACTAAACCTCTGGGCCAAATCTTCTTCTCTGAGAATCAATCAAAAGACCACAATGAGAGGGATGGAAAACTGTCATAAAATGGGACTAAATGCCTAAAAAATAGATATAAAATGACCTCAAAGGGTCGCTAAACAACGGCAAAACAAAACAAAAAAAATTAACCAAAAAGCAACACAAAAACTACTGAAATGATCAAAACACACGACACACCGATATTAGCTTCATGGGAACCATTTACAGGAGTTTGTCCAATATTTTTGGCCCTGTTTTCTTCTAATTCAATTCAGTTTTATTTATAAAGCACCAAATCACAACGAAACTCAGCTCAAGGCGTTTTATACTGTAAGGTAGACCCTATAATAATACATACAGAGAAAAACCCATATGACCTTCTATGAGCGAGCACTTAGGTGACAATAGGAAGGAAAAACTCCCTTTTTAACAGGAAGAAACCTCCGGCAGAACCAGGCTCAGGGAGGGGCGACCATCTGTGTTGACAGTGTGTGTTGAGACTGTCATTTTTAGCATCTACATGAATGTTAAAATTTTCCACAATAATTATTTATTTTCTGAGCTGAGCACTAAATTAGATAAAAAGTCTGAGAAATCAAACAAACTCTGTGTAAGTCCCAGGTGGACGATAGATAATAACAAATAAGACTGGTTTTTGTGTTTTCTAGCTAGGGTGGACAAGACTAAGCATCAGGCTTTCAAATGAGTTATGTCTGTCTTGGTCTTTGGTTGATTAATAGCCTGGTGTGGAAAATTGCTGCCACACCACGTCCTCAGCCTATGCTTTGAGGATTCTGATAGTTATTATGATTTGGGGGTGTTGATTCATTTAAGCTAACATAATCATCCTGCTGTGAGCAGGTTTCTATAAGGCAGAGTAAATCGATTTGTTGATCAAGTTATTAACTCATGTACTAACACAGCGGTCCCCAACCTTTTTTGCATCACGGACGGTTTAATGTCAGACAATATTTTCATGTCTTTAAGGTGTCGCGGATAAATACAACAACATAAAATGATACAACCAAGACAAAAACTGTATTGGTACTTAGTGAATTTGCGTTTATTGTTATATTTACAGTGTAACTTAATTAGCAGCGTCCTCCTTAAATGCGCCAACAACATTGAGAGTAACGTCCTCCTCTCTGCCCCTTAATGCTCTCCGGTCGCTATGGTAACGCGTAAATATTTCTTTCAAAATAAGACACACAACTACAACACGGGAAAAGACCCAGGGAAAATGAGTTAACGATAAAAACCCTGAAAACCATAAATTTCACACCCGAACCTCAACTCTCACGGCCCCGTACCAAACGGGCCGGGTGTTGGGGGCCGCTGTAGGCTACTAACGGAGACTTGAATGAGAGACCTAATGTTTAATAATCCACATTGCACTGTTTTACTCTGTGGTGGAGATGTGGATACTGTATTGTTCTTTCTTTGTGATTTTGTTTTTTATGTTTAAATCGTTTTTTGCTGGTTTTTAGTTTGTTTTTTGTCTGTTTTGCAGCTGACACAGGGGGGTGGAGATTTGGGGGCATAATAGGTCCACTGTTTATAAAGATTTATTGAGATATTTAAACTTGTTAGCATTCATCTATCACACAATAAATGCAATTAATTTTTTCCGATATATCCAACACCAACAGCTTTATATTTAAAACTGTCCCTGCCTGTCCTCACCCCCACCAATTACTTTTTTCACTCAATTATGGATGGCTCTGGTTCAACTCTTTTGAAAGAGTGTACTCCACAGAATGATCTGAAACTGAGTCATGTTATGTGACTCCTTCAAAAAAAAAAAAAAACATGCTATGAACTTTTTTAAGATAATTACTTCCTGTAGGACTGCTAGCAAAATACGCCATCAGAGGTTACAACAGAACATTTCTGATGCAATCCAGCTGTGCCCTCTGTTCGTAGCCTAATTGCTCAACACCATGATTAGTCATCATTTTACATAGACAAGTTTTGTTTTTTTTTTGTTTTTTAATGAATTAATACTGCACTTAAGTGTGTTTGGAGCTACTTTTACTGTTTTACTTTGTTCTCTAATACTTTATAATTAAATATTGCATGCTTAGGGAGTTACTTTTTTAAATAACTGTATCTTTTCATACTGTGTCTCTATGGATGTTAGACAAGAGCTCTATATAAGTACCATTTACTATATCTATACATCAAGGAAGCAGATTGTCTGAATCTGCGTGACATGGTGCGTTATCTCTCTGTAAGCAGTCATCAGGAGATCGGTACGCTCAGTCACTTGAACCGCTGCTACAAGACTATATGGATCCATGTCTTCATGCCACACCAAATTCTGAACGTTGCAGAAGAAATGGAGACCCATCACGCCAAGCAATGTTTTTCCCAGTCTTTTATTTTCCTACGTTTGTGAGGCTGTGTGAGCTCTAGGCTCAGTTTGCTGCTGTTAGCTGACAGGAGCGGTGTGCTCGTCTGCTGCTACAGAATTCTCTCTTTTTCAGATGATTCTCTGTAAACCCAAGAGATGGTGGGACAGGAAAATCCCAGTAAATCACCTGTTTCTGAAATACTCAGAGCCAGCCCTTCTGGGTTCACCAGCCATTCAATGTCACTTTGATCATTCCCCTTCTCACCCATTCTGACATCTTGACCACGTTGTCATATTTGAATACATTGAGTTGCTATTATATTATCTCTGGTGCTCTAATAAGTAAACACTAACTTATTGTTAAAGGAGTCTTAGTCTAAAACCTGTATTAATTACTAAAAACATGTAAAATCTTCATTTGCTTTTAAGATTTTAGACAAATGTTTGGACATCATATTTTTCCTTTTGTCTGAGAGTATAGATTTGAAAGAAAACAGGAAGCATCACCACATTTACTGTAAATACACATTTTCTGTGCACGACTCCACGTTTATTTACATGTTTGGATTATAACACTTCTTGGATGAGGGTCAGCCGCCTGTTCCTTGTGTCTGCCAGTCCAGCGTGATTGAGCTGCCTGAGCTGGTGTCGTCGCAGCAGTCCTCGGCATCAGAGAAGGACGACATGTAGTGGAGGCCCGTCACTCTATGGTAGTCTCCCTGGAGCATCTGCGGATAGGCAGTGAGCTCCATAGCCCTGCGGCCAGTCCTGCTCACCCTCACAGTCCACATGTCAACCAGATGCATACACATGGCACAGCCCATGGTGTTTCCAAACAGTGGAGGGGACAGATTACACAGATATGCACAGTGACTCTATACAAGAACGCAGGTCTCAGGGTAAATAGTGACTTACTCACCAACACACTTGGCAGGTGCAGACAGGACCTAAGACGTATCAACATCAATCATTTCCATGCCTTGTCTTAGTTCCCGTGTTTTTTCTGCCTTCAAAGTGCACGGTGTATTTTTTTTGTTCAGGTTTTGGCATAAAAATATAAATACTATCATCATCATAAATTATGCAGGTAAAATGCAAAATGAATTTGCAGTGTTAAATACATTTGAATAGTTATTCTATGTCATGTTTCTGAAGAGGAGCTCTCGAGTATCGAATTTCTGCTAATGAGTGTAAAACACCATCAGCGTCACTGTAAACCCCTATGCTTGTTTCCCAAGAATGTGAATCAGTATTTTCTTCTATAAAAGGCAGTGAAAAAAAATAGATAAGTGGCAAAAAGGGTGGTTCGCCAAAAAATGACGTAAAACCAAAAGTGAAGCTACTTGTCAAGCTGCATGCACCGCACAGATACACAACAGATTCACATGCAACCCTGCCTGCAAGGCTCGAAAGGCTTAACCACGAAGCAAAAAGCCAGAATCATAATTGGTGTTCTCCATCTCATACAGCTGCCAGACACGGCATGTAAATATTTACTGCGGTTGCTTTTGGAAAGGGGGGAAAAAAAGAAGAGTTCACAGAGAGAAGTCAGACACAGAGATGAGTCAGTGAGCTTCTTTCTCTCCAGCAAATCACACTCATTTCAGAAGAAACAGTTCATCTGGTGACGTGCTCTTCGAACTGGTGGCACTTTGATTTGGCCATAGGGCGTCTTCACACTGATGATTTGATAAATGAAAGCCTTCCTGTGTGATGCCTTTTAACTTGATTAAGCAGAGCTGTCACTGCAGATCTGAAAAATGTGTGAAGAGAGAAATGGATGAGAGGTTAGCGAGCGGCAGATAAAAATATAATTTTAAGTTTAGGGGCAAAATATTCTTTTTTTTTGTACACCACTCAATCAGCAATGAAATAATTTCTGTGAGACTAAGATAAATACAAAAGTAGACAAATATGAAATGGAAAAAGGAAAATCAAGACAAAAACTAACAGATAAAAAAAGGAGATGTGACTCAGTTTCTGGTTTATATTTATGTTACAAGTACAGCCTCTTTCAGTTGTAATGTTTTATATCCCATATAAATAAAAATCCAGTAATCTGGTCCTTAGCAGGCTCTT